CAGGTTCATCTGGCAACACCAGTCCAGATGTATACCATCTGAGAAAGCAACAGTGAGGAAAAGGTATGTTTGCTGTTTGGAGGCTTGCAGGTGTGTCAAGTGCTTTCCGAAAGCAATCCGTAAGACGTCCTTGTGCTTCAAAGCCAGACTGCTTTTCTTTCTTGTGCGTGGACGCGCTGAAGCTTTCGGCTTGGAATGTTTAGCTCCGGCATCTGATTTTGCAGCCAAGATGTGCCAAACATCGATCCAGATAGCCAAGAAGACTCTGTATGACAACGACGACAACAAAATTGTATGAACGCAGCTTCCGTTTCGAAGACCGCTCAAATGGTGTCAAGTATTAAAAGAAATCAGTGTTTTTTCAAGACGTGCCAAGACCCGCCATCATGTTGATTTGCCATTGATTGCAGGGCATCCGTTGGAGGCCCCAGACCATTGCTTTCGGTTTGAAACTAGAAACAAGCTCTAGATTTCATGCCTGAGATTCTCGTGGGACAAGGAACCGCGTTTTAATTGGACGGCCGTGCCTCGGCAGGTTGCAACAAAGATCATGTACCGTCGTTGGACTCACTTCGAGACAAAACCATGCCGGTGTTGTCAGAAACATGAACCGCGAAAAACAATAGGACAGATGGTTTCATTGATCGCAGGTTTCTGTTTTGTTAACACATGGGTGTGTATCCAAAAAAGGAGACCCCCAGTTCGACCTCCTGGCAGGTTCGGGAAACAGACCAGACCCCGTTTAGGAGATCTTTCAAAGTGCACATCGTACATGTTTCTTCGCTTGTCATGAACGGATCACCGCATGCCGGACCGGGCGCGATCAGTGACGTGACCAGAATTACGTCATCGACCTCCCTGAGTGAAACTCGATCGTTCAGGCGATGCCCAAGAAAAGACCCAAGAAGCACCACCAGCTCGAAGCACCGCCCACGCCTGAGAACACTGTTGGACTTCGTTCACCTCGTGAACATAGCAAAGCCCGGACCAAACATAAAAACATGTTTTAATGTTGTTTTCTCCAAGACAAGATTCACCGGGAACATCACGTTGTCGTGACCGATGAACCGGTCAGGCCTGAGACGGATCTGAACGAACTCCGCGAGGCGCTGGACCGTCCCGGTTCCGGACCACCGGTCGAAGCAGTCCCGTTCGTCTAGGCCTAACAAGGCTGGTCCTTGTAGGCCTAGCAGTAAGCCTTTCAGGCTCCCCGTTTCAAGTTGCCCAAATGGCAGATCTCATTGGGCCCTTCACAGTGGCATGGTCGATGCTGGCATGCTCCATGCCACGTGTGGCAGGCCTTGTCCTCGAAGGTCTCGAGGACTTCGACGAGCTCGCTCGGTTCCCAACCGGTGAGTTCTTGGAGGTTTAGCCTGGGTAGTTCGGCATCACCGGTCCAGAGGCAAAGTCGTTGCACCGTGTTCGAGCCCGAACATGTTCGAACATTTTCCTGCGACATGCTGTGTACAGTATTGCAATTCAAAAGATCAGTGGCATCCATTTCTGAAAGGACGTGGGCCGACCTCGGGCTCGACAGGGAGGCCCCCCCCCCGCAATTGTCTAGTGTTCAAAGGACATGTCGGACCAAGGGTATCAATTCTCAAGGCAATACCTCAAAAGTATGAGAGCAGTTTCAAACATAAAATACATATATGTACATATATTTTGTCAATCAATATATATATATAAATATATATATAAATCAGACAAACGGCCAATCAACGTAAAACAAGTCGGTCTTTTTTGCCTCTAATTCGAAAATCTATAGTTTTGGACGAAGCTGCACTTCTTTGGCTCTGCTACTGTTTCTGTCAGTTGCATTATTTTTTCCACGAAGTGAAGAGAAGAGTTCGAGCTTCAAGTGGCATATGCCTCTCCACTACTAGGGCGCACAAAGCCGATGCCCAGTTTCATCGCAAAAAAAATGCTTTCCACCTTGCAAAAAACGAGGGAAACCGGGAAACCACTGCTTTTTTGCCAAACAACGACAATTAAATAATGATCAATGTTCAGGAAACGCGCTCGTGCACGCACACCAGGTGGCACAGTTTTGGCTGAGGGATGCTTATATAGGCATATCCTTTTTCATCCGGTGTTCTCTAGTGTTTTCCTTCTTGTTCGGTTTCCAGTAGCATGCCCTCTGAGGAGTGCGAAGCTGGGCGTGCCCGATGGCTCAGTGTTGTAAGTGAAGAGTGAGAACTTGTTTATTCCAGCTTGAACAGCTTAAGATAAGGTGAGCTCCAGCTTCTTCCATGAGATCTGAAGAGTATCATATTATGAAGATATGTTATTGTCCTATTTGATCTTCATGATATTACACTTATACGTCTTGGTTTCGCGACTTGCACCTTTTTTTATAAACAAACATGTTGTGTTTCTTTACCCTTTTGCCCGAGAGGGGTCCAAAGCTCCATGGAGCTCCATGGGTGAAGTCGGCGTCAGCGTTTTTCGGTCTTTGGATTCGGCGTCGGCGTCTCCGTTCTTTTCCCCGTCTCTCGCCGAGTGAAGAAGGGAGGCACGGGATTCTGTCAGATCTAAGCATGAAGCATGAAGAAGATCTTCTATAGGGATAAATAGGCCTCTTTTTCTTGTGGATCAAGTAGGCACCGTTCGAGCGACCACTGTGTTCTTTGGATCAGCGCGCTTGGACTTCCTCAGACGGTCCACCTCTTTGGGGCTTCGGCTTCGCTGCTCTGCCGGGGACTCGCGCGCCAGTGAGGAGACAGAAAGCCAAAGGCCAGTCGACGGCACCACCGCAGTCTGTCAAGAAGGCGGGTTGGGGATGGCCAGCAGTGGTGTAGGACGCTCTAAAAGTTACTAGTTTACCGTTTTCTAACTGGTGCTTGAACCCAAGGCAGTTTCATCAAATCGCCCCATGAAGAAAAGCACTGAGCCATGCAAGACCTTGTGGAGAGCTGTCCTAGGCTGTTTCACACTTGTACTTTGCCAACCAACTGCTGTTTCATCACATCACGCAAGCTCACGCTGCTGTTTCGTGTGACATCCTGTGATGCCCGCGGCCACTTTTGGGGGGCTTCAAAAGGACCAAGTTGGTAGAGAGAGGCGGCAGAAGACCCTTTCCTTTTCGCTCGGCTGCCGTCATGGCGGAAACGAGCAAGACTTTAAGGTTCACACGGATGTGCAAGTATTGGGCTTCCAAGCGCTGTTTCATGGGCGAGACTTGCAACTTCGCACACTCCGAGGAAGAGTTGCGACCGGCACCCGACTTGATGGCCACCAAGCTTTGCTTTCAATTCTTGTCGAAGGGCATGTGCAGTAAGGGCTACGCATGCACCTTTGCCCACAGCAAGAAGGATCTACGGCCTTCACCGAAAAACACCTATCGCTTTGAAGAGATGGAGCAGATCCGGTGCGAGGTGAAGGCACCTCAGTCCACCTCAGTCGATCAGAACCCCAGTCCACCTCCAGGACTAGGGGTACCACGGTGGCCGTCCGCGCCCATGGGCTCCGATTCGGAGTCCAGTGTGGCATCAACATCCGCCTCCAGTGTGAAGCTCGAGAAGCTCGAGTGCCCCCCCCGCAACTCACCGTGCTTTTCCCGCGCCAGGCAGAGCTTTTGGCTGTGAAGCGCGAAACGAAGATAGACCTAGCAGCTCCGACTGTCATGAACAGTGATCAATGGGTGTGGGTCATGTGGTTTTCTATGGATTTCTCCATTTACATGGAGAAACGATCCAAGGGTGCTGTTTGAGCACCCTTATCTTTTCAAGTGCTGGGGGAAGCCAAGGCAAGTGCCTTGGCCTGACAGTGGTCAAGCGGTCACTTGTGACAGTGGCTGACCCTTGCCAAAACTGATCTGAGATTGGATGGGGCGGGGATGCCAGGCCAGGTGCCCTTGTTTTTTCATTCCTCATCCGATTGCCAGGCCAGGTGCCGCCCTGCACGAGATTCTTTAGGTTTCACTGACCAAGTGCAGAGAGAACGCAACCAACAGAACGCAGCCAAGCTCTTGTGCGACTGGATGTTGCAGCAGATCCCACCAGACAAGACTTTTCGAATGTTGTCCTTCAGCAAGAGATGCTACTCCAACCATGGTTCCTTTCCGTTCCTTTAACCTTCAACAAATAATGGCACCTCATGCACTCATTGCCATAGACTCTAAGAGTGTGAGATTTTAGATTCAGCCCTTCTGCCGGACCTCAGGGCAGCTTCGACGGTGCCAAGCTGGCCTTGGAATTGTTGGAGGCGAAGATGTTGCCCAGAACTTCTGTTTTGACTCTTTTTCCCCCAACCTGGTAGTCATAATCCACTACCAGTTCGGGGTAAAGTGAGTCATGACTGGACTCTCAGGGTTGGGGATGGAGATGTCTGCTGGCCTGGAAGATCTTAAGATCCTGATGACTCAACAAGAGCCACGAGCCACTCAAGCACCTGCGGGGCTCCCCACTCAACACTTGGAGGAAGTAATTAAGCTTCGACGGGAGCGCTTTTTTGCAGGTCACCTGGTGTGCAAAGCGTCACACTGTTTTCAGGGTACGTAAGTCTGACACTTGCATTGACAGGGGCCGGTATCTCTGAAACTTGCATTGACAGTGCCTAAAAGCCAACGTATTTGCAAAGATTTGTGAAGACTTCTGATTTTCAGGCCGTCATCACACCCTTCTCTTCATGTTCATAGTTGTGTTTCAACTGGATCATGTTTTGGCCCTCTAAGGTTTTCATCTGCACTCTAGACACGTCAGCGCGGTGTCAGCCCGGTTTCACGGGTAGAAACCAGCAGCTGGAGGCGTCCACGACACAGCTCCTGCGACGTTGAGGCCTCGGATTTGAGAAAGCACTGCAGTGCCAGATGTTACAAGGAGACGTCACATGTCATGATATCATGATATCATCATATCTCATCGTCCGATGATATGAGATGCCTTCACCCAAAAGCATTGGTTGCCACATCCCAAGTTCTCAGCGACTTTTGCCCAAAAAAGATGCCCCCCAAACGGCCACTTCTTCACTTCCTCTTTCGCCTGAGGGAAAGGCTGGTTTCGGGACGTTCGTTTGAGACGTTCCGCGGATGCCTCTTGGTTGGGATAGGGGGAGGGCCGGTGCACGGTGAGAGCTGGCGGGTGAAGCACGCTCGCGCTAGCTCCGTGGAGGGTGGGGGAGAGTGGGGAGTGAGGCGTTTCTGCGCAGCAGCAAGCTTTTTCAGAAGGCTTCAGCCAGCAGGAGCCTGAGAAGTGGTAGACGTCATGTCGTTGCGATGAGCCGAAGATTTGTTTGGTGGACTCACATTCTGGTGGATCGGAGAAGATGCGGATGAAGTGGGCAAGCGAAAATCAACTGGAGGCTTCAGATCCCGGAAATGAGAAGGTTTTGATTGACTTCACGGACCTGAAAATGAGTGAGGTGCTCAATGGAGATCCCGGAAATGAACGCAGGAGTTCATTTCCTTAAGACCTCACCTCTAGATCCAAGATGAAAAAAACCTTTGATGTTCATCTTGCAGGATAGGGCCCCACCCACCTGAAGATAGTAGTAGTGGTCTAGATCGTCCGCACCTGTCGACAGGATGCTGGTAGGAATAGTTCTTGTGGCTGCCATCGCCCTCGAGGTCAGTCAGCCCAGACGCTACTTGAAAAGCCTTCGGTGGCTGAGCTGGCCGCATACGAGGAGGTCAGAGATCAGCCCCGAAAAAGCTTGGGGAGCTGCCTTTTTTCATGGAAAGTGGAGTGAAAAGCACCTGGTTTTGGTCTTCGGACCCTTTGGATTTCCACGACCCTTCTGAAATCGGGACAAACTGGCCGGATTTCCACGTCACCGTTTTCTCTTTCCAGGTAGTGTACATGCATGTGGTACTGTTATAGTTTGTCTCAAGACATTTCAAGACAAAGTTCCCAGATTGATGTTTAAGGCTAGCAGCAGAAGAAGCACATCTTATCCAGTGAAAATCCCAAAGGGGTGAAAGGAGATGAGGATGGAGGGCGATGGAGGGTACGTCTTCGAACATCTTCGAGCCTACCACGACCGAACTCGGGCACTCTGAGCGCTTCTGGAGGATCGAAGAGCCCAGACTTGAACCCGACTTCGAAACGACCAGTCAAAGCAGCATAGCAACATGCGCTTCGTTGTTGAGAGCTTCAAGTTGGACATCTAAAGCGTTCTCATGTGTCCTTTTGACATGGCTATAGCATTCTTAGTTCTTACATCCATGTTTTTCCTTTTGAGCTTTCAAAGCCCACGACAATGAAGCCATTCGCCTCCGATCCTCTTCAGGTGTCGTTTTCGGGGCCAAGGAGCCGACCTTCGATCGGAGCGGAGCCGACCGTGTGACGTCTGTAGGAGCTCCGTGTGCACCTCGAGGGCTTGAGGAAGAAGCTTGGCTCGGCCCCCCAAATGAGCTCAGTGGTCGACCGCCAGTGCTGCAGGTCTCTCTCGTGGTCGACCGCGCGGTCGAGCAAGCAAGACGTCGTCGCGCGGTCTCGCGCTGCTTGGTCATCGGGATCACGCTTTGTTATGCTTTGTTTGTTTTCTTTTCTTTTTTCTGGGACGTGCTGGTGATTTGGGGACCTGTAGAGGCCAAATTTGATTGAAACTGAGTGAGTTTGCTTGGAATGCGGGTGACTGCGCAGAGAAATACCGAACTCCGTTGTTTGCATGAAACCTCAGGTGCTGTTCCCATGAACGAAAGCCGCGAGATCAGTGGGGAGCTGAGCCGCGAACCATATGTTTTGCATGAGAGACATGCCACACACACTCTGACACTTGTATTCAGTTAACTCAGTTCCCAGGTCAAAAATGGTGAAGGAACGGCAAGGTGAAGAGTCCGCAAATGTGTAGATGTTTTAACAAAAAAAATTTGTCACGTGACTGCGGTGGCGCGCTGCGAAAACTCTCGGCGGCTGCAAGTGGCTGAGGAACCAGTGTTTGAGGGGCAGTAGCATGAAGAACCATGGAAACAAAGAACAGCGGCAGGGTGGACCAGTGGAGTCATTGTGTTGAAAGCAGGTACGTCAGTTCCGCGTCCGGAACTGATATCAGTACCGCCACAGAAGCCTCTTCGTTGGACTGTCGCTTCTGTGGGGTAGACAGTCCCCCTGCCTGTGAGAGGTGGTGGTGGAAAACCCTTTGTCCAGGGGTGGACACACACACACACATCATGACTTACTGTACAAATTTGGGCGCCAGAACGTGCAAGACTGAGGTGAATAATGGTAACCACTCCATACCGCTGGCCAAATTGATTGTATATAATCATAGAGCCAGGACGCATGGTTCGCCCCCACCAATCAACTGTCGGTGGCGAAACCTGCCTTTTCCCCCCGCCGTCCCTGACGCCCTTCTCTCCGAGGTTTGAAGTCCAGCGGACCGGGGCAAGCCATCGGAGCGAAGCTGAAGGAACGCCCGCGCGCCGGACCCGGCAGCGTGGTCCCGGCGAGGTCGAGAGGTCGGGCGAGTGAAGGTCTGGAAGATGAGGACCGGTCTTTTGTTCGAAGAGGGGGGGAGGGTTTTGGGGCGTTTTTCCATGTGTGGGAGCCATGAGTGGGCGCAGGAACGAGACACATGAGTGAATCCTGACTCATGGCAAGTCATACCCCCCCAAAACGCTGAGCCGCACCTGATGTGCCGAGCTCGGCGACGCTGGTACATCCCCAATGCATCCAATCTGCACCAGTCAGTCCCTGGTTGGAGTCTGAGTCATATTCCATGGTTACGTGGATGACATGGTCCCAAAAAGAAGACAACTTTTCTTGATATACATATTATCATATTATATACAGTACTACTTTTACATCATTTACGAAAAGGGGGCTCCCAAAACAGATCAACACGAGGTCAGACCTGTTTGCCATGCGCCGAGCCTCAGGGCCTCAAGAAAAGGGCTGTTGAGCTCGAGAAGAAGCCACGCTCGGTCATCAAAGGAGCCTTGGCATGCCTTGGCTGATGTCGTTTGCCGTGGCCGTGCTAATCAATGCCTGAATTGATGCTGTCTGTTCTCAGTTCCACAGGACTTTGTTTTTGGAATTTCTTGGAATTTGGATGAATTTAGGCGTTCCAATCATCTAATAATTTCGATGAGAATGCTTCATGCTCGTCGATGGACCCCAGCAAGGTGCTGTGCGGTCTAGCTGGCATGTTTGTCGTTTTCTTTTGATTTGCAGGTACTTGCAGTGTCTCTCTTTCAACGGCAGTCATTTTGACTTGGGAACCAACATCAGTGGAGCATTGTTGGAGTATGTTGGTGCACTTATTCTTCCGCACCAGGAAGCAGCGGAAGCCGAAGAAGCTCAAGGGTTCTGGCCCTGAAGATGCGCAGTGAGGTTGACGGGGAACGAGACATGGAGCATCAGTGGATTTTGCAGCCATTGGCTTGCAAAATGCAAGGCTACTCGTATCATTGATTTAAGATGATTTAAGCTATATTATATCTCCCTTGCTGAACATATAAAGCAACATCTCAGAACAAACCATCCGTCCAGTTGATGGGATGTGAGCCATGTGAGCCATTCAGTCTTTAATCGTGGTCCCCCATGAGTGACCTGACCCGTGTCCTGTCGCTGCCACTGGCTGCGACAGGCTGCGACGGATGACCATCTCCACCTCCACCGTGCCGACAGCGGCAGAAATGACGGAAGGATCGATCTGCCAGCGGTGAAATCAGACATGAAAAGAGAGACTTCGCACCGGATTGCGAGAACTCTGCTGTGAAGCACAATGGTTCAGATGGTTCTGGTTCAGATGTGTTTTTTTCTTTGCTCGCTTGCCATGGCTTGACCTTTGGAGATTTTTCCCTCGTTCTTGCAAAAGAGTCTAGGCCATTGCTATGTATGAAGGGGCTTTCCAGCAAACATTCCTCCTGAACGACCAAGGGAGATTGGGCCATGTTTGGCCTTGCACGTTGGGTCACGTTCGGTTCTTGAGCTTCTCTACAAGGAACAGCAGTGACACACTCACGGCTCATTACAGACTCATCGCAACGTGCGGCTCATCGCACGGTTTTCCTGACTTGAAGGAGCATGCGCGGAGCATGCGCCATTGATTGGATCAAGCTCCACAGCTCCCGAGCCATTGAAAGTCAGTTCCAAGAGTCCAGACGGGCGATGGACACATCTGAGAGAATGTCTGAAGGCAAGATTCATCAATCTGCATTTATAAGGAGATCTTCTATAGGCCAAGCTGCGATTTTTTTGGGTTTCCGGGTTCAACTTCCCCATGGATGGCAGACCTCTATGCGCTTCTCGGGCTAAGCCCCAAAGCGGCCGTGGGTGCTTCTGACCTCCGCAGCGCTTATCGTCGCAGTGCCTTGCAAGCGCACCCGGACAAAGGAGGAAGTGAGGACTGACCGGGTTGTCCCGGACTCCCAGGATTTGGCACCCGACAAGGATGGACTGTAGGTTCCTCGTGATCCTCTGCAAGACTAATAAAGAGACTAAGGGCTTTGAGGGCCTAGTTTTGCAGGTATAACCGCATAGCCCAAGAAACTGACATTGTCTTCGGTAGTTCGAACCAAAGGGAGCAGTCCTGAGTTCTTGGATTAGCTGCCTCTTGCTTGGTTTCGGATTCCTCTGAAAGATGACCATGTCAAAACGCTACAGAGGTGTGGTCCACGTCAGGCGGATCACAAAAGGGTGGAGAATCTAGAGATGTACTGTAGGTGTTTCTTGTTCAGCCAGGCAAGGAGCCAATCTATTAATTATGAGTCTTTGATTCTCATGGTCTTTTTCATCCAACCCCCACACTCGTGCTCGGCAGTTCTTCGGTTCTACCGGTCGTGAGGAGCAGTTCCATGCTGTCTTGACTGCCTTTGAGGTTCTCTCGTGCAGGATAGAGACGTTCGCTCGGGGTGATTTGGTTTGCGTCACCGAAAAGGTCATCAGTCAGAAGATCTTTGGGCAGGTAACTGTACATTCAAGATGCCAAGAGCTTGAACATTCAGATTGATGACTGGTGCGAAAAGCAAGGAATGAGGGAATCAGATCCCAATATAGATTCTTTGCTTATTCCATTCCCTTATTCCCTTCTAAGCACCCCTCTGTTAAAAAATAGAGGTGGTTTCCCACGGATGAAATCTCCGCCCCGACAGTGTCCTTTCCTGAGTATATAAAGGGACTTTGGGGCAATCTTCTTTGGAACATCCAGATAATATCAGATAATTCCTCAGCAAAGCTGGTGGTATGTGGGATTTTCCGAAGTTCTTTGGGTCACTCTGGCCAACCCACACGGTCAGTCGGATCAATTTTGTTTCGTTTTCTCTGTCATGATATCGTATGTTCGTTTTCGACCGAGATGGTGGCAAGATGGGGTCTGATTTGGTCACAATCCATGGAAGATGGTGGCAAGACTGCTGACGGCTGAGATTTTGGACCATCTACAGTCAACCGTTTGAAAAGAACTGGTGCAATACTGTAGAAGAGCCTAGATGAATCACAGGACGCCTCCCTATTTCTAAGGGACAACATATGTGGGCGCCTATTATTTTGGTACAGTTTTCTTACAATCGCAATAATTGATTCTGTAAAACAGCCATGAATCCAACAGACTGGTCCAAGTCCTTCCCCTCAAGACACGTAGACGTCCCGGACGTGATCTCCGGAAGTGCCTTCATCTACTGCGCCTTCATCTACTTCCTGCCCAAGCCTTCCAAGTAAAGCCCGGCCGCATCGGGCTCTTCGGTGTTACACCTACCTCCGCCTCTCCCACCTCCATGTGTGGTGGCTGCGTGACCGGCTGGAGGACCTCCCGGGAAGCCTATGATGCGGCCAGAGCCCGTGGGGCTTCGGCCGAAGCAGCCTTGGCAGTGGCCACAGGAGGGGTTTGGCCAAGAAAGTCGGAAACCGTGTGGAGGGTTTGGGGCCAAGAAGGAAGATAAGGAAGCCACCCGCATTTCATGGGTGATTGATGTAGACTCAATGTGGACATGAACCATTAACTCCTGTAATTACATAAGATTGGAGATCAGAAGTGCATTGTTGGTGGTAAGAACATGAAAAGGCTAAAGAGGCGGCACATGAAGAAATCCTGCCGCAGCTGAACTACTGTTAGGAGAAGACACTGACTTGTTTAGCCACGGAAGACTTGTTTAGCCTGTTTAGCCACCTGCGCTGTCACTGATAGGTGAACCAGTTCATGCCTAAAGGCTTGACAGAAGCGATAGCTTTTGGCCATCAGGCATCACTTCCAAACTCATCCTTGCCGACGGGCATCGTGACGATTCGCGACGGCTGGTGTTGTCCACAACATACTAAGTGACTGAGAAAACCAGATTTTCAAGCATCCACTTCAGAAAAAAGGAAACATCAAGACAATTGTAGAGTACAGTCCAAAAAGGCCCCAAGATTTGCTCCAATCCGCTGGCTGGCACAAGGGTGCTCAGCAATGGCCTGGAGGATTCGTGCCTGTTCTCTCCATTTGCCGCATTGTCGGTTTTGGCATCTTGGCACCGGGCGCCGGGCCTTCGGTGCACCAGCTTGGGCGGTCGTGGAGCTTCGGCGGATGGTGGAGGAGGCGAGAACACCGCGGAAAGCCAATCCAGGCAAAAGACACCCAGCAACTTCAAGGGCGTTGGGTGATGGCACGGGTACCTGGCGGTGTTGTGGCTGTGGTAGTCAGAAGATGGTAAAAGACTTCTACGTGACTACAGGTGGCAAAGTGTGTTCTTTGTGCACCAGGTGCGAGAGAGCAAGAAAGGCCGCTTATAGAAGAACTCTTCGTGGGAATGCAATTGTTTTGGTCAACAGTGCCAGGACTCGATCCAAGTTGAAAGGTTGGATTTGCAACTTGGACGTGGACTTCATCCTTGATCAGATTCTTCGGCAGCAAGGCAGATGTGCCTACTCAGGAGTTAAGATGGAAATGCTGTTGCCCCACTCAGACTGGCGCATGTCACTGGAAAGGCTGGACAATAGCCTTGGGTATGTGCAGGAAAATTGTGTTCTCATTGCTGCTGAGTTCAATACTCCGGGAACAATTAGCAAATGGGTGGCATTAAACGAGAAATCTGGATCTTCCCAGTGGTCCCAGGAGAAGGTAGAGAAGCTGCCATTTGAGCGGTCATTGAATGTGGATTTACAGAATTTGAACAAGCAGATCAAGGCAGCACGCTTACCGAATCAAAGGCTGCTGATTGCGGATCTTCGGAAGCCCCTTGAAGAAAAGCCAAGCACAGGCCAACATTTGCAGTGGCCAAGGTGTGGGTGTTTCAACCATCCAAACTGCGATGCTTTGAATCAAACTAGGACTGGAGGCTTGCAATACTACCGTAAGGAGCGCCGACTCTCTTACAGAATAGCGTACCGCATGACCTTGCGCGGTCACATCGTGGACTTGCTGGCGAATGCGCGCAGCAGACACAGACGTGGCAAGTGGTTTGGAGACTTTGAGCTTGAATTGGATGCCGTGCTGGATATGTTGTGGTCACAGCAAGGTCGATGCTTCTACTCCGATGTCCCATTGCGTTTTGCTCAGTTCAACGTTGATTGGATGATGTCGTTAGAGCGGCTAAACAACGACAAAACATATACCATGGAAAATACAGTTCTGGTTGCGCTTGAATTCAATACATCGGACCATAGCAAGAACAAAGCTTCATCCAGGGTGTTCGGCACTGCTCAGTGGTCCCGAGGCAAGGTTGAACATCTTTGGGGATGTCTAAGCAGGCATGCCTCCACTGAAGCCATCTCAAAAAAACTGCCGATTCACCAGCTTCAAGGCAGCAGTCCCTCAAGTCCCCTGGTGTCACAAAAACAAACACCCTTTCGAGTGCACAGCCTCCAGAACCTCTGATTGCCAACATGCAAACCAGCGTGGTGTGTTTGTATTTCGACCAAGAGACCACCAGACCACCAACCCGCTGATCGATATCTGAAAATCAACAGCCTGTGTAAGGTTTCAAGGTGTCTTTCTTAGCCTTCCTTCGCTCTTATTCTATGAAGTCTCATGTTGGCCTAGAAGGAGTTCTACAATGTTTAATGGCATACTTTGGTTTTCAGAACATCAAGCCCTCCCTTCTCTACCATGGAATGCGTTACAGAACGGGGTAGGTAAAGATCAGGATGTTGTTGCAGCTCTGCTAATTTTGGGGCAGATCTAGTTTCGTTGTGAATATTTCAGGGCATGTGCAACTTTTTGAGGCATTGCGCCCTTGGGCTAGTTTTGGTTGGTTGGCAGTTTTTGGAGGCTAGTTGAACCGCAATGTTTTCTTGTAGGGGAATGTATGAAGGCAAGAATATGAAGGGAAGAATCCAGATCCTTCAGATCGCCCAACGATAAGAAAAGCCTTTGCAGACCTGGATGATCTCCACTGAACACAAAAGGTTCACAAGGTGTGCCTCGATGATCTCTAGATGCTTCTTCACACCAAACACCGTTTTCAGTTTTATCACATTTTGACTCCACCGGCAGAAAAAGACACCGTCGTTTCATCCTCCGTGTCCTTTCGTCCAATCCGGTTGGGATGTGTCAAGAATTCACAATCCGGCTCCGTCCGAAAAGCACCGGTGTCATTCCTCCAAAACAACAGGAAGCGGGAGTGACGTGTCTCATGTTGTCCATTTGGACATGATTAAACAACCTTTATTGTTATTACTATTAGCATAATACATTTAGTTTTTTAAATAGATCTATCTTGGTCTTGGACTGGTGAATACTGGTGTACGTGATGAACGATGAAACCTATATATATATATTATAAAGGTCGATCCCTCCAGAGCTCGGTCCTTTGGGTAGCATGAGAGCTTAGCCTCCGACTTCTCAATGGTTTTCATGTAGAGTACTGTATCTTTTTCCGCTGTGCTCAGTGGTTTTCATTCATGGTTAAAGTTTAGAGCCGTTTGCGTGCGTCCTGGACACAGCGCTTTCATGCCGTGAGCTTGGCAGCCTGACAGGACGTGCAGAGCCAAAGAGCAGAACTGGAGAAGCAGGGAGCTGAGATGATGCCAGAGAGGTGTTGGTGGGAAGGGTGTGGGTCGAACACCCATAGAGCCAGCCCTGTTCTATGTACCGGAAAACCGAGAACAGCTGGCCGAACCCGCCTCCGTCGCAGTGTCGCTGAGACGGTTGCACGGTCCTGTGGTTTAGACAGGCCGGTTGGGCGGGCGGACCGACCCCGTGAGGTCCGGAACGGTGTGGACGGACTCTGGACTGTCGGAACAGTCTCAAGGCGCAGTTGAAAAGGTCATTGGGCTTTGGCTTTGAACTGGAGCAAAAACACATGACAAGACAACCTCTCATAAGCTCTCCCCAACGAACGTCTGGCATCCCAGATTTGGAGGCTGACCGTCTGACTAGTGTTAAGTTTAGCTTTTCTTCTACTCTTCTTTGCTCCAGTAAGTGTCACATTGTGGCCATAAAGAGCAAGTCAAATGCCCACTGGCCAATCCCGTCTGTGCCATTGAGACTAGAGACACGCTCATATACATCTCGTTTTGCTTTTCGAAGAACGACCCGGTGGTTGGTGGTGCCCGACTAATGCCCGGCGGTGCCGCCGAGGCCGCAGGACGTGGCACCGCGTCCAGCCGTGGAGCGACGGTGGCGCTCGAGCGGCTTCGACAAGTCTTGTCCAAGATGAGCCGTGAGAAGCGGCAGGAGGCGCTGCAGCAATTGCCTGCAGAGGCGGGACGGTGGGGCTGGAGAGGCGGAGGCGGAGTTCGGCGGAAAACATGGGAATGTCAGAAGGAGATTCATCTTGGCAGGAGAGGGCCAAACGAGTTTTGGAATGGACTCAAGATGACCTGAGTGGGTTCATTTGGAACTTGAAAAATTCTGGTTCAAACCGCAGAAGACTGTAGGCTTCTTGTTCGGCCATGAAAACTGCAGACCTTTGATGACTCATGACTCTCCTCTTGTGAAAAAAATTGGGTCGCTCCTTTTCCCTTGGACACCAGGTGCAAGCGGCGCTGGTGTCCTTCATGGAGACCTCAAAAGCTGAACCGCCGGCCCGCGTCGCCCGGCGGCTTTGGTCGTCTTCGCTCGGTTGTGGATTTTGGAGATGAGACATCGGTTTTGAGACATGATGGATGAAGATGGATGAAGATGGATGAAGATATATTGAACTGTAGTCAGTGTTGATTGAGTGTATTGCTTGGGATGGGCTGTGTCCACTCTGGACTCTGTGCTTCTTGTTCCATGACTCACAGCCAGAGCAGTGGCCCACAGCCTGGCCAAGATGATCAGGGTGGAGCACTGGTTTCAGGTGTGGAATTTTGGGACTTGTCACGTCCTCCAACGTCAGATGAGGCTTGGACGACACATGTGTATCTATATATATATATATCTCGCCATGACAAAATCCCCAATAGAGGTTCCTCTATAGATGATCAATGCCGTTCCATGATGTTCCTATAACTATTAACTATATATACCATACTATAACCATACCTATATACCGCCCAGTTCGACTATTTTTGGGGACCACCGAAGTAAAGACATTCCTCTCTATTATCTAATATAAAGACCACAAAAAACACGTGTCCTGTCCTGGACTTCCAGGGCCACTCGATCAGCCACTCCGAACTCGCCGGGCTTCGCGGCTTCGTGCCCAGGCGCCGAAGCCTCGAGCTGCTCGAGCTCCAGCTCTGGTGGACGAGGTGAGTGGAGCGACAGGCCCGTTCGATCGTTTTGCCAGACACCGAAGAGAGACAGGGGAATGACCCTGCAAAGGGGATGAGCAGCTGTTTTTTTGGGTGCATCAGCGTGCAGGTTGTGCAGCAGGCCGTGCAGGCCTTGCGGGGTGCGTGTCGGGTGCGATTCACTGTGCGTTGATTCATTAATTGTCATCGGTTAGCAGCTAGCCAGCTCAAGTTTATACATTGTATACACTTGCTCATTGGTGAGAGTGTGAAACTGAAGTTGTTGCGGCAAAAGCAAGCAATGGTGCATGGTTGTCTTCACCCTGCAGGCACACGCAGTATTGGACGCGGTATATTGCGACAAGCAACGTCTCCTCCATCTTACAAAGCCTCCGTCTTTCTGCGCTCCATGCACCTCGGCAGTTGAACATGTCCAACAACACGTGCTCAGTTGTGGTCAAGCAGATCTATGATTTTCTGCGACATCAAACAACTGCCTGCTCCACTCCAAGGTTTGTGGCATCAAGACCAAGCCCGTCTTTGGAGCATGTGTGGAGCTTACCTTCAAAGTGGTCAAGCACAGTGGGAGCTCTGGCCCCCAAGTCTCGAACTTTCGTCGATCCTCGTGCGCGCTACGACATCTTGTGTGGGCAGACCCCTCCACTCCCGTGTCGCTTCAAACCAACGCAGCTATGCGGCGATCCCAAAACGGACCAACCGACCGGGGTGATTTCCTGTTGAAACAGGGCTGGTCCGGGTGTGTTTTTCTATGTTTTTCTAACTCCATGTTTAGTGCTGCCTAATGAAGCGATCACAGCAGTCGTCCCAGCCCTGGCCTTGGCCGCCTTGTTTAGCGCCCGGTGGATCCTGTCTGGTCCTGGTGGCCGCCGCGGTTTGGCCGAGATCTTGCAGCTTCACTCGGCGCTGCTCCGCGCGCGGGAGCTGCTAGAGACGTGCGACGTCAACAGCCATCGCTTTCGCGAGGCCTTCGAAGAGGTGCAGGGACCATGAGACGTTTTTGTTATTCTTTTTCTTTGAGAGAAGAACATGTTGAGTCATGGCCTTAAGTCATGTGGCACTTTGGAAGTTAACGTATCATGAAGTTTTCTCTTCTTTGTGGAGTAGACAATAGGCAGACTTCGAGATGTTCAGCTATCAAGTGGCAGACTGACACGATAACCACAGCCAGAACTCATGATCCTCCAATCCAGTATCTTCCAGAACCCCAGCCGTTTTGCGAGGCTTGTCGTGAAGCTGAGTTGGATGCAGCCAAAGCGCTGCAAATGTTGACCTTCACAGCGATTATCCCGGCATACTACGAGGCGGACATGGTGGACATGGCGGAGCTGGGAAGTGGCGGAGATGGCGATCTGGAGTCCAGTCATGTCTAGTCTGGTTACATGCCATCATCACCGAGCATACATGAATCACCTACTTACTACTATATACAAGTCCTGTTTGCCATTCTGGTGATACTACGTAGGTGGAACAATTCAGTGAAACAGGACAAGCTACCACCCGAAGAGTACTCATGCTCGACTTAAGCTGTGAGCAAGAGCCAAACGTTGGGCAGAAATAGGTACAGTAGAATACAGTAGAACAATGTAGAGCATGTTGATCCAAATGTTGAGATTGTTGGGTTCCAAGGGCTTCATTAGCTCAACACTCTCTTCTTTTGCCTTGTAGACCTTACGAACGAACACCGTTCCCTTCCCTTCCGTTCTTCTCTGCGATCTTCGCCGATTTGGGCCCCGAAGCTCAACCCAAAACCACTCCGGCGGCAGTGGACCCATCGTCGCGTCGCGACGACGTGACGATGGTGAACAACGCCTGCGTCAGGTGAACCGGCAAATCAAGGGGCGACAAACCGCTGATCTCGATGCAGCCTTTGCATTGCGTGAGCGGCTACTGGAGGTGGGGACAGTCCGTGGGGTCCGTGGGGTCGGTGGGAGATGGCCGTTTTTGTTGGGTGAGGATTCAGGATGTGTTTTTGTAGCGTTACCGGAACCGTTTGGGGAAAGAATCGGATGTTTAATCGGACAAACTCTGCTGGTATTTCGAACACCTTCCAGCCTTCCAGTAATTCATGAGTTCAGCCTTCTTCCACCCCAAAAAGGTTCTTGTTTGATATTTTTGTGAATCCTTAAATCAGATTGAATCACACACACACAACCGCGTCCATCCGAATCCCTCTGTCTTCACATCTGGTGCCTGCGAGGCCCGCGCCACAGGCTGGCCAGCCTTGAGCCAGCAACTTAGAGCGATGCGCTCGTGTTTAGGGAGGCAACACATGTTTTGGATCATGGCAGTTGAGTCTAAGGGTTTAGGGTTAACCCCCAACCTAAGGGAAAATCAAAGCACAGATGAAATCCATGATGAAATCGGAGATCCCCTTATGACATGAAGTTACTAAAATCCCATATGTTTTGGCGCGCAAGCTCGCTTTCTTCTTGCAGCTTCGGGTCGCAAGAGCCTCAGATTTGAATCGCTGGAGCCTCACCGACCTTCTTGTTTGCTAATCCACGAAATCTGACGAACACGGACCCAGCAGACGACTACCTGGGTCGTGCGAGGATCACACCGGCACCTACTGTACCTTAGTATCGAATCAGGTAATAATTCAATCATCGAAGAATAGGGTCCTTGACATTGAAGACCATGTTCCTTGAAGAAGAGGTGTTCTGCTCAGCCTTGTGTGAGGGATAATGAGCTGCAATATTGCAATCCATCGACATTTGCATCTTAGGAGAGGAGTGGATAGCCATCATGCAAAGCCCGCCGGAGGCCGTTTAGAGATTTTAGAGAATGCAATTATGAACGCCCATGCAACAACAGCATAGGACCATGGATTCTTGTATTTTCCGCAACATGCTGACATCTTGGAAGGTTGTGTCATGCTTTGCAGCCCGTAACATGACAACCGTTGTGATGCAACGCTAGATAAGATGTGAGTTTAACGACGTTCTTGAACAATCAAGTATCCCATCTCTGCCAAGGCCTTTCAACTCAGAAGAGACTTGGGTCATCGATCATACCTGGGTCATCGATCATCCATTCTCGCCCATAAAAGTACGTGTTGGACCCAAAGCAGGACTCCAGCAGGTCTCATCCAAAACCGCAGGGGGGTGGAATTGGCCCGGTTCTTCAGCTCGTGACCCCTGATCCACCGGGGGTCACGGGGTCACGAGCTGAAGAACCTGCAAGCGGGTCACATCCTAGAGACCCTCAGGTTCGGTCGACCGAAGTGGAGCGCTCCACACGGGGCCTCAAAATCGCCAGGCGGGAACTGGACATAAAGCTGCCACAGTCAGGGCCTCGAAAACGACGTGAAGAACGAAAGCTTCGGGTTAGGACCTGACTGGATTGACCTTGTTGATCGTTGTGTTGAGAGAGGATCTTGCTTTGTTGACCGGATCTGCCCCGTGGAACCTCTCGTTCCACCGACTTTCCTCTCCTTGGTCGACTTCGTTCGCGTGTCGTTCGCACCGAGGCCGAGGAAGCGGCCCGGATTGCAGATGCTGCTTGGGAAGCTGGAATCCCTCAAAGAGCCAAGATGGAGGCCAAAGACGACATGTGGAAGACCATGTGGAAGACGCAGAAGACGCAGCAGTCACAAGGGGTGTCGAACGAACGGAGGATAGAGGTGCCCTTGTCACATCCACTGGTTTGTGAATCCTGGAGCATTTTTACCCAAACAGTTTACTGTTGGGGTTCTATCTTAGAAAAATAGAGCTGGCCACACTCACTGGCCGCGCCCCTGAACTCTGTGGCTGGGCTCTGTGTCCGGGCCTTGTCCTCCTCTTGTCCTTTTCCCTGCTCTCTGTGGCTGGGCTCTGTGGCCCGGCTCCGTGTCCGGGTCTTGTCCTCCTCGCCCAGCTCTGTGTCCGGGGGGTGCAGTTCCCAAACAGCTGGAGGCTTCAGAAAAGTATACTTGCATTCGTTTCCACAAGCATTAATTATATTGGAATTTTCGGAGTTGACGCCGACGCCAAAAAATGCTGACGCTGTTGGGGGTCTATGCTGGTATAATATCCATACCCCCTTAAGCTACTTCCGGGAGGGGGGACCTCAAAAAAGAAAGTTACATGTTAGGGTGGGCCTCTAGGGGGTCTCCCAGGCACCATCGAAGCGGGTAAAAGGGGGGAGGGGGGGTCCAAAAAAAAAAAGTAACTTGTGGCCTGGCACGTGCTTACTTACATTTTACCACCCCCCCTAGGGTGCGTCGGCAGATCGAAGGGCTGGGGGGGTTTATTCTGGAAAATGTAACTTGCAACCTGGCAGGCCAGAACCTGAACTTACATTTTCTAATCCCCCCTAGGGTGCGTCGGCAGATCGGAGGGCTGAAAGATCCTTTTTAAGATCATTTCTCAGGAAATCACCCATGAGGCCTCAAAATAGTAAGTTGTTTTTTTGAGGCCACCTCAAATGTTAATGTAATTACTTTTTTGAGGCCCTCCGCATAGACCAAATCTGGGGCCAACCCTCCGAAGAACAACGAACTCTGCCTGTTCCATAGGCCAAACCGTAGATCCATCTCCCCTGGTCCAGACAGGATTTGCTTTTCGGACACGTCGCAGATGCTTCATCTGTCACCCTCTTTCACCCCAAAACCCACGACTGCCTGTGTTGTGGTGCAGTTCCGGGTCCGACGTGGCGGGTTGCCAGGCACGCCGCGCAGCCAGGCCTCCCAAGCGGAAGAGCGGAGAGGCGCCCATTCGTTGAACTCGCCACGGGGTGTCGATCGGCCGATCTTCTGAAAAGGAAGCGAAGGACAGAAGCGATCAGGACTCCTGAGATCAGGGAGTGTAGTTTCAATGTAGTTTCCTCTTCAGTCGCATGTAGAAGTCACGCTTCAGGACTCTGCAGAAGTCACGCTCGAAGAAGCTGCTGCTGCTGTGAGCAAGGTCTTGAAGGCGTTCGTGGCGTTGGTGCCGCTGTCAACACGTCGCGGTGGGGTTCCCGCGGAGGTTCCCAAGCTCGCCCGGTGGAAGAACGTGATGTCGGAGGAGTCCAAGGGTGAACGGCCTTTCCGTGCCAAGTGGAATCGAAGAATTTGGGGATGACATGGGATGACTTCAGAACCAGGGTCGGCAGGGTAGTGGAACTTGAAAAAGTTCCAGATGGTTTTGTTTGATTTGCTTGTCGGTGGTCGGCTCGCGTCCCAAGAAGTGGGTCGGGTGGATCCTTCGAATCGGGTTGATGTCCCGTGAAAAAAGAACATCATCCTTCCTCATGTCTCCATTGGTTTCATTCTGTTTCATCAATCATGATAAATCATGATGATATGATGTTTCAACAAAAATCCAACCCCGATGTGCGTAGTACGTCGCACTGGCCGCAGGCTGAAGGACTCCGAAGAGCCCAGCCTCGTTCGCAAAAAGAGCAGCGTCATATCTTTCTAGCCCCTTAGAGGTTAAGGGGTATCCATTAACCACCCCAAAGCGGGGGACATCCTTCATAACATGTAGGGTGACCATGGGTGACCTATATGTTCATTCTGAGAGATCAGAGGTGCTTTTGGGTGCTGCGACCAGGACCAAGCACGCCCCCATGTTTCTGAGGGCCATCGCAGGGCCATCGCAGGGCGGTTGAGAGCACCAGCATTTGATGTCAAAGAAGAGCTTGATAAGAAGTTGTTTTGAGCTAGGATGCTGATGAATGTGACCGAACTGGGACACCATCTCCACTAATCTTCGGTAGCGTTGGGGCTCGCGGCTCGCTCTATGTTGCCAGAGCCGATCAGATAAAAGGGGACTATTGCAGATTTTGACAGATCACTCTTTTGACTCTAATCTCCCAGATATGAATAGCCTGGCAGAAAGGCATGCATTCCATATCATTCCACTGACACATCTGGAGCCCAAAATGCATCGTAGGCTTAGCTAATTCGTGCCATGCTGAGATGATGAGATCCGTCCGCCGATGGCACGTCCAGCCGGGCGTGCACGCGTTCGCGCTCCTCGTGGGTGTTCTCTTGGGACGGAACGCACCGACCATGGTCGAACCGCTTAGCCGCGGCTCCGACCGTGCCTGGAACTTTGCCTTCGGTTCGAACATGGTGCCGTCCACGCGGCAGCGGCGACGGCTGGAGCCATCTCGGACGGTGCCGGCGGTGGTGCAGGGGTGGGAACTTCACTTTAGCTTGCCGGGGATTCCATATATCGAACCCGCCTTCGCAGCATTGAGACCCTCCAATGTCAGCACACATGGAGTGTGCCTGGAACTTGACAAGGAGAACTGGTTGCGACTGCTGGTGTCTGAAGGGGTCTTTCGACCGGATGAAGCAAATGCCATGAAACGCGCATCTTTACAAGAGGTCCTGGAGCTTGCCGCGAAGCCCACTGCAACTTTTGGATACAGGCTCCTCCCATTGCAGGCGATGCTTGCATTGGTCCCTACACGTCGTATAGAAGTTACCCCATGTTACCTCTATATTAGCTCAGCGCCCCATCGTTTAGGCGAAAGAGCCTCCTTGCATCTCAGTTTTCGTCCATTTGGTCTTTTTGGACCATGACACACCATGGCCCACCACCGTCACTCTGTCTCTTGCTTTGCATTTGCTCTGTACATCAATGTTCTGAACACCATCAACTTGATGTACTCTCACTTCGCTGCACTTCGCCCACTGTTTCGCATCCCCTCCTGGCCCTCCTGCCCCCTCTCTCCTCCGCTTTTCCTTCTCCACCAGGCTTGCAGCTATGGACGCTCCGCTGCCGGCGCTGCTTCCCCAGGCACCGGGCCTGGCCTCGTGGCCTATGCCTTCGTTGACGCCCAGCTTGAAGGAGCTCCTCCGCTTCTGCCACCCTCGCGGCGCTACTGGGGACTACTTCGCGCGGGCGCGCGGCAGCACGGCTTGGACCGGAGCTATCGGGACTATTTGTACTCGCTTCCCAGGCGCGTCTTCCAAGGAATCACCGAGTTATATTATAATGTTATATAATACATGTAATTATAATGGTTTTTATATGAATGGAAATGGTTTTGCAAGCATTGGCACGCTTCTTGTTCCATGAAACGTCAAGCAGAACCCGCTTCCTCGCGTTGTTGACCCTGGCGTTCGCGGGTCGCCCAGAACCCGGAACCGGAGCTGGACCCGACCCTGGGACACTCCACTGCAGGTACGTCCCGTCGCCGTTGAGTGCCGCAGCGCTCCCCACGGTCTTGTCGGCGTCGGCGGCGAAGGGCCTCGAGGGTCTCGTGGAGGCGTCCCGCGCGGGGCGTCTCGTGGACCTTGCAGCACGAGATCCGCGAGGTGAGGCGAGGTCCGGAGGGTCTGTTCTTTGCCCGAGAAGGGTCCGGAGGTCGTGGTTTGAAAGACAAAGATCGGGGCATGGGGCATGGGGGAACAAAAAGGGTGAAGCATGGTGAAGACAAAACAGCCAGGTCTGTTTTCCCAGGTTTTTTTCATGTTCGGTGTGTTTTCATGTTTTTGGGGTTGTGTTGACATCATAATAATTAGTTTTTGCCAAGCAGTATTTGAGGGATTGTCGGAAGTACCATCATTATGGTTAGACAAAAGATCTCTAAGGATTCTAAGGGCATCGAGGTGAGCTCAAGAAATCTCAAGAATCCATGGAAATTGGACATCCAAAAGTGGAACAAGTTCCTGAAGACCCCCAGAAGACCCACCACCAGTTCTCACCCCAACCGAACTTCAGGCCTGGCCGACCCTCGACGGCCTGGCGTTTTTGGGGTCCCAAGCTCGGACCAAACACCGCGGTGACCGCGAGGACGTGCCAAAACGGATCCACCGGTCGAAACTGAGGACGGGCACCTTGGTGATTGGACCCGACTGCGCGGACCCGTCCTCAGGAGAGAGTCGGAGTCGGATTTCTCGGATTTCTGGTGTGGAAAAACGGCGGAGACCTGCGTTTTGTCCCGTCTACGGTTGACGCTTTGGACCGGTAGAAGAACGTGGGGTGCGCCGTGAAACACGGTGCGTGGCGAGGACTGCGATCGATCAGGATTCCGATGTTTCATGGTGTTGCATGGCGTTTCAACAAGGGAGAAGAGTGGTACCATGGAGTCATATGGAGTCGTGGCCAAGTGATGAATTGGAGGGTTGAAGGCTTGAATGTTTTAAACCAGATCTCATGTTTCTTCCGCATTTTTTTCATGTTTTTGGCAGCAGTTGCAGCAGGCCTCGGCTTCCAGCTTTTCTCTCTAGCCTCCTTTCTTTGATGGTCGTGCATGAGGCTTGGTCGAGGTTCTGCACAACATCCAGAGAAACCTTGCTGGGAGCCTCGTTCCTCATCGGTTGAGGAAACATCACCAAACCAGGAAACCAGGGGCGCTGGCCGCCAGCGCTGGCCGCTGGCGCCTTTCCCCCAAGAATTCTCTACCCAACTGGAATTGGGTCGGTTTCTATATGTTTCTATGAGACTTTTGGGGGGGCAGGTGACACTTCAATTTCATGCCTTTCTTTAGATCCCAAAGCCCTGCTTTCCACCCACTCCCTATCGCAGACATGAAGATCAGATCCCCCTGGTTCATGAAGCTCCAAATAACATCACTGATAATCACTGTAAATAGTCTAGTCTAGTTAAATGATTGACGTAAGATTGATCATCCTGATTTCTATCCCCACGCACCGGGATCATCCTCCGTTCGCTTCGCCAGCCCCTTTTCTCGACAGGTTGAGCTCCATGCGCGAGCTGGTGGGCGAGGCGAGAGCCCACTGTCTCAGTGGGTGGTCTCGCGGTTGGGACAGGCTTTTCTGTTTCTCTTTTCTTTTTGTTTGTTTCTGTGTCTTTTCTGTTTCTTTTTTTTAGTATATTGGGTGATGAGTCATTGGACTCCAACATATCCCACACATGAAGAACACATGAAGATGCCTTTTTGACCTATATGTATGTTGGTGCACCATATCTATGTTTTGGACATGTGTTATGGTTCCTTGCATTCCTGTTTGTCAGTTGCTTCGGGACAAGAAACCTGAATTTACTGCCAAAGCAAGGTGCAAAAGGGTGTTTGGCTGACATCGATTGGGTTATAGAACTGGTCTTGTTGATGCCCTTTCTTCGATAGATAAAATTCAACCCAAAGTGCTGCAGTCTTGGGGCCAGCCACCCTTGCTTGGGCCCACCGCTGGCAGTTTGCAGGAGTCTCCAATCATCTACATTGCATGAGCTAGTTTTCGGCCAGGAACCAGGCTGGTAGGACCCAAGCTAGGATTTGAGTGAGTTTCGCGAACACCATGAGGGGACCCCGAAAACAGGTCCAGCCACCTGGGGCTTTTCCGAGGGCCATGAGTCATCATCTCTTCTGCGCTCAACTCTGCGTGTCAATTCGCGCGCAGAGTTGGGGTACGAGTCACTGCACGTGGCAAGCAAGTTACAGAGACTTGCTCAGCACTAAGTCAGTGAGCCTCAGACCACGCCATCACCGAGTCAAAAGCTGGCTGAGGCATGTAGCTGTCTGCAAGAGCTAATTATAGATCAGCAAATAGATAGTGGATGATCGTGGCATGGTTTCCAATACCTTTCGACTGGGATTTTGCTTTTCTATAGATCTATGTCTATATAGCAAATTCATCTGCCGCAGTGCCATTGGCTCTAGCATCGTTTTCGGCTTCGATGACCTGTCTGCTAACCCGTCCACGGTGTCACCGCTACCGATAGTAAAATCAAAGTGGTGAAGATCCGACGAAATCCAACGCTCAAGCTGGTCAAGTATTTGGCTCTTCTGGATGTACTGAAGCAACATTGATCTTTCCTTCACCCCGCTGAAGAATCCAAATCCGAAGGCGTGCGACACCCCACCACTGTATGCCTTTCAACCGGAAAACCCCACTATGAACACCAAAAAACTCACATACGCTCACATGTACTCACTACAGTCAGCAGATTGCGGTCACAACATTGTCGTTGGCGTCAGCAGCTTGCAGTGCACAGTCGATGTGACTGTCGTGTCCACCAGACACCATGTGCGGAGACTCAAGGACGGAGTGGAGAACGAAACTCGGAACTTGGATTCGAAACTCGGACGTTTCACAGCGCTGCTCCTCCCACAGTCCGCGATTTTTTGGGCTCACTCCAAATCCTTAAGCATGCATTGCCAGCACTGCCAAACTCGTCATCCTTTCCGTTCAGCGGTCAAAAAAGACCCACGACGAGTCGCAGCTTCAGCGGTCGCTCCCACACACCGAGGTCTCCGACAACGGCACGGCGGACGAGTTGCGGTTGACTCGGCGCGTGAGGGCCTGGGGAGGGCGGGAGTGGAGGGAAGCAGTCTTCCAAACTCGGAAGCAGAATTTTGCGTAGCAAAGCGACCTATGGCGCAACACATGGCGCCATGCTTGTCAGCAGTGCAGCGCAATGCAAAACAATGCAAAGTCTATTTTTAGCATATATAATATACACGTGCTTTGTCAGTGTGATTTGTGATTTAGGCTCAAGATCAGAAGATGCCTCTCACACCACCTGAAAGCCTCTATTGAGGCGCCTTTTTCTTCATGAAAGAAAAGTGGAATCCCAAAGAAAGAGAGAGGCCTGAACGGCCTAACTGTGCCGCCTGGACTCAAGTGAAGTTCAAAGCACTGGGCCGGCCAACCTGCTTGCGCAACGTCGCGGAACGGCGCACGCCAGGATGCCGTTATAGCGTTTGGGGCACCTGCGACCGCCGAAGGTGTGTGGTCGCCTTGGGATCGGAGGACCTGCGCGTTTACGTCGCGGATCACAAGCCCCCCATCGTCTTCGACTTGCAGCGTTTGAAGGCGCGGGGATGATGCGGATTCTGCGTACGCGAAGTCGAGCGGTGTGTTAGCTCGGCGGTTTGGAAGTATTTCTTTTGGAACTCAAGGGGGGCCAACGTTGGTCCTCCAAAGGGCATCATTGAGAATTGAGGCCCGAGGTGGATTTGCCATACAAATTAAGTTATACATATCATGATCTTTTCATGCTGATTCTCGGTGATGTGGAATCAATGTGGAACCGTATGGCTGTGTATTTGTATCACTGTATCGCCATCATCTGAAAGCAGAAGACTCAGAAGACCATACCGTTGACCAAGACTTCCTGCATCACCCAAACCCTTTTCTTTTACTAGTAACATTTGTTTCCTGCTCGGCACCGTATCTTTCATATATAGAGATGGCTCGTGCCCGATCTTGGCACCCAAATAAAGCCCGAAAGCGAGGGTCAAGGTGGCCGAAACCAAGGGGGGGGGGGAAGAGACCACGAGGTCGACTGGGACACGGACTGGGTCTGTTCGAGGGAACTGTCGGTGACCGTTTTGTTTTTCGGTGGACTCAGGCGTCTGCGATTTCTCGTGACACGGGGGTGACCGGTCGATCCATTTCAGGTGAGACGAGGACAAAGGCACCTGGAATTGAGCCGAACCACTTGGGCGCAGCAAGTCTTTCAGCGACTGTGCTGTTGTCAGCCCTTCGCTTGCACGGTCACGTTGCGTGTGGACCAGGCGCCTCTTTTTTCTGGAGGGAGGAGGAGACAGACAGCGTTGAGGTTTTGCAAACGTGTCTTGAAACGAGGGAGATCCCGGTCAAATAACCGGGTTTAAGTTTGTAGTTGCATTAAGTTACAATGTTGCCCTCCGCTGCACCTGAGGTCGGCTGGGAATGAATTCTATCTTTGAATCCCCAGAGTGGCGCTCCAAAACAGACCGCTGTCATCCTTCTTGCGAATAAAAGCGGACAACCACATAAATCAGCAAAGGAATTCCATGATATTCCAGTAGCCAACCCCCATGTAACCAACCGATTCCGTGATATTCCGTGCATTGACTTACTCTGGAGCCTCACATTCTTGGGGATTTTCCAGATCGCTTGATCCGCGTGGGGAGATGTTTTTACCATCCGTGTCACCATGTGTGCCAACCATTTTTTGTGGACTGTTGAGGAATTAAACAACGGGGACCCTATTTATTTGACGCGTTCCCTTTTTTGACCCCTACCTTTTTTCTCACCCCGAAACCATATCACTCAACCCTCCTCCTACAACCGGCATACTTCCTTTTGACCCCGCAGACCGCAAACCTGTCATGTTTGACCCCGTTCCACAGGAAACCTTCCATTCCAGCCTCTCCCACCAACCCCTATCAAGTTGGGCAGCCAAAACGTTTGAGTCCGACCCCGTAAATCTGTCATTGCGACCCCGTTTCACTGGAAACCTCCCATTCCAGCCCCTGCCACTCCAACCCCTGGGAACTACCTCTTCGAACGGCCAAACCCCGCAAACCGTAAACCTGTCCCTTTGACCCGCTGCCATGAGTCCAGAGTGTACCATTCCAACCTCGGTGGATTGCTTTTTCGACTCGTGCAAGGGCACAAGCTCCAAACCTTTCATTTTGAGCACGTTCCCATTTGTTTGACCCCGACAGATTTTTCTGATCCGAAATCCTATCACATCAACCCTCCTTCAAGCCGCTGGCAAGACCCCACCATCCTTTCCACCCCGCTCCGGTGCAAACCTTCCATGCCAGCCCCTGCCCCTGTGAAGTGCTTTCTCAAACCCTGCCATGGGCAAAAACTTTTATTCCGACCCCACAAAGCTTTCATTTCGACCCCGCTCCAGTGAGTCCACCCCTTACCCTACCATCCCTGGGATTGCTTTTTTTGGCTGTACATGAGAATCCAGTGTAACCTCCACCAGTCCAAACAAACCCCTGTGACTTCGTTTTGCACCCCTGCCACGGGCAAGAACTTTGGGTCCAAACACCTGCAGGCCAACCCGCAAACCTTGACTGTGACCCAGAACAGTGTGTCGTGCAAGCTTGTGCCACTGCCACGGCACGGCATTTGCGCAGCAGCCGGGGTCAACAAAGATTGTTTTCACAACAGACGGGGTCAAAAAGGATTGTTTTCACAACAGACGGGGTCCAAAGTCCAAAGGAAGGTTTCCCAATGTTTTCACAACAGACGGGGTCAAAAAAACATTTTCACAACAGACAGGGTCCAAAGGGAATGTTTTAAAGGCAACAGGGTCAAAATGAAAGGTATAGGGGTTGAGAAAATAGAGTAGGGGTAGAAACATGGGTGTCCACTAAACAACCATATTGGAGATGGACAATAGTCTTGGTGGGGGGGTTGTTCATCAACTGTTTACATTACTTTGACCTCGCAAGGTGGACGACCTTTGCGCGTTTCTCTTTCCAGAGTCCAACATTGACACATCTTCCAGCCGAGTGCCATTGGCCGTGTTTCCACCAGAGGTCTTGCATGTGATCACAGAGTCCTGGTTAACATCGGATCAGGCGATGCCTTGTTTTCTATGGTTAAATCCCCAAATCGTTTTTTTCCCAGGTCTCCCGGACAGCAAATCCAAGGAGTTTCTGATCTTGCCTACCATTCATGACGTCATGCGCTGCAGCATCAAACTGCGGGAAATGTTGACCTCCGATGCCTTTTGGCAGCACTTCTATATCAAACATGTTCCACCGCAGGTGCGCCGTCAGGTGGAGGAATTTGAAGATATTGATGGTTGTTCCGTCTTCGATCGGGTGGCCATTGCAAAGCTTCGCTTCTGCCATGTGTGCCATGCCCGCAGACATCTTCCAGGGATTTGTGGATGTGGAGCCAAGCAGAGATTCAACAAGTTTGTGCACTTTGATATGCGAGCAGCCGAGAAGCTCCGATTGGGTTTGCATAGACTAGGCACTCACCTGATGATCAAAGGATTTGACTTGCAGTCACTCGGCGAGTGGTCAACAAACACATGTAGAGACCCTTAGAAGCCCGAGACCCCCATTTGTACAAGAAAAAACATTGAAAGCAGTACCAGGGGTTTGGTTTGGACGTTTTTTTTAAACGAAAGCAGATGAACACCGATCGTTCGTATCAATTTGGTCAAGATTGTAGTACTTGCTGAGCCACCTCAGCCAAACTGAGGGTGCAACTGACGCACGTTAAAAAACATAGAAACAACACTTTCCCAAAGTCAAATTGGGATCATACTTTTTGGTGACATGTTAGTTTTGGGGGGAATCGTTACAGACATTTATGAAATGTATCCTTTTCAATGCGGGTCATTTTGTCCATGTCGCTTGAGGCTTTAGGTAATCATAGTTTCTTTTGGACACTTGCGACCCTTGTTTGTATTTTTCATTGACTGTTATTTTTCATGGACTGGCGTCTTTACATTTCCGCATTGTATCACGTATGAGCTCACTTTTGATCAGTTCCTTGGGTTTCACATGGTTTCACATGGTGAAACACCCCGCTTTCAGGTCTGCCTTCTTATGCTTCTCCACCCGCTATCACGGCACCTCCCTCGCCAGCATGCTGCGGCAGACCGCGGCCAAGGGCCGGATGCACCTCTTGGTGTGCGAGAGCTTCACCGGAGAGGTCTTTGGAGCGCTCCTGAGGCGGAGAGCGGAGCGGGGCGAATTGAGTGCGGAGGAACCCAGTGATGGGGTGCCTCTGAGGCACCCATTGTAGAAGAAACCCAAAGAAAGAATTCCATGTAGGATCGTGATTAGTAAAGGGAACCCTTTCTTTTGGTGACTCTACTACTAAACTTTGAGCTCCGATCGGATGTGGAACGACTGCGATCGGAGTCTTGGCTGACGTCCATCGGATCTCGCCACAATCCCGATGGATCCAGACTTAGCCGCCCGCATCCGCACACCCGAACGAGTGAGTTGGCATTCAAGCGCGACGTTTATGGGACGAACGTGCGTGCATCAATGCCAGGTTTCCTTTGAAGCGGCGATCCTCACAGCTCTATGGTTCATGTGACCGACTCATGCTTTTCAACATGAACAAGGAGGAGCTTCGCACTTTTGAAGGAGGTGAGAAGTTCCCCGTGATCCGCTCCATTCCTGATGCTTTATCCATTGGCACCTCGAGCGAAGCAGCTTTGGCTTTGAACTGGGATTTGAGCATTGCAACCTGTGAACCATCCATTCTTTGTCAGGGCACTCGTTTGTGTGGCTCTTGCTCATTGAGATCTGTGGTGACTTTCTCGGATGTGTGCCCGGACAGCGTCGACCGGCGGATCTCCCACCTGAAGGCCAACTGGGGAAGTCATCCAGATGTCCAGCGCAACGTGGCGCGACAACTCTTGCAGCTTTCGGGCCAGCAAGACCTACGGCATTACTTCTCCTGATTCGAGAACCAGCTGGATGGAAGCAAGACATCGCACGGAATTGGAGATGGCGCTGCAATGATTGGCGCTCTCGGCGTGTGAATCGAAATGTTTTACGTTGAGGCTCCAATGCTCTGAGCCTGTGCTGGAATCTATGTTTGAGCCTAAGGCATTTTGCGGGCCAAACTGTACATAAGGTCTTGACCAGCACCAGCTAGAGCAATCGCATGACGGACAGCCTGCAATTATAGCAACGCTTCGAAAACATGTTTCGTTGTGTTTAGCTCAACTCCTTTGCTTCCCGCAACTCCTTGGGTTTCGCAATTTCCTGCCGGACGCTCGCTCGCTCCGACTTGGGGACCTCGGCGCTTGCTGCTCGTATTCGGCTGAGGTTGGCTGGTCATGAGTGTGGCTGTGCACCGGCCCGAGGAGTCGATGGTTCGAGCGAACGCGATTGCGAGTCGCAGCTCATTCGTTGTTTCACATGTTTTCCAACACCATGTGCATGGTCAGCATCTAGATGATAGATAGACCTATAATTCGTACGACTTGGGATCACACTGTGATACACTGTGTGACGATCAACATGACAACAACACCTGCCACACCTTCTTCCCTTTCTTTGAAATCGCTGGATTGCGATTTTCCCCAAACAGACTGGACAAATCCGCTGCATCTGTGCGGTCCTCTGCGCGTGGACCGTCCAGCTTGCTGGGTGGACTGACCGAGCTAAGGCAAGGACAGCCAGTTGAGCCTCCCATTGTGCTGTCATTCTGCCACGCTTGCTGGCCACTGCATGGTTCGTTTGGCTTGACTCTTCATGCATCCAGCCTTCACGGATGGATGCAGTGTGCTGTCATCACATGAAGCCACGACAGATTTTTGCTGCATTCCATTTTCACCTTAGTGTCTTGACCAACAGCAATAGCTTCATAAGAGTCTTTGGGAGAACGCTCAGGGATGACGAGCTGCAGGAGCAGGCTGGAGGGGACGCCTGCAGCTGACGAAGCAAAGCGAACCGGGATGCATGAACCTCTAAATTGTGAAGCAGATTCTCGATAGAAGATCAACGTAGAACCTGAAAAGACTCAAGATACATGTATTCTGTATACCATGAACTATATTGTTTGTAAGTTCCTTTCGCGGTTCGATGATTTAATGTTGGAATAATATATATATATATTCTGATTCTTTAAACATTAACTATTTTTGTTGTGAAAAAGTACATAGGACGTGGCCTGTCATGCTGGTAGGACGAAACCACCCTCCACAAGCGCAACATGGGTCCAATATACTCGGGAACATGAAAACGCGATGAGGATGTACTTCGAGGAACATGCCTGACCTGACACTTGACCTCCGAAGGAATTCCTGGAATTTTCGAACTTGTTACTAGTAGCTTCATGTAGCTTCTTGTTACGTAATAATACCAGGAGCTACTAATTCGTAGCGTCCGAACGCTCCGTTCGTAGCGATGCCCTTTGTTACGTTCGTAGCTTCTCAACTTTGTTTGGCGAGTCGCAGAACCTGGCAGGGAGTCGAGCACGCTCCAGCGCGCTCGCGCTCGCGCTCGCGGCCTTCAAAGAAAGGTGGGATGGCCCACTTGACTCGGACGGCAGTTGGCCTAGGTGGCCAAATCAACTTTGGGTTCATGGTGGCCAGCGGTTTAAGATGTTTGGAGCGTTTCTACACGTGTTCAGTCTTTCTGAGATGGTTCTGGAGCGCTTCCACTCCGTCGTCTTTTCTTTTTCCGGCCCAGTTGAGCGAGTCCGCAGGCAATGACGACATGTCTCGAGAGGCGGGCGATGGCAGGCACGAGTCTGCTGGCACAGCTCCACAATGCTCCAGCTGTGGGGAGTTGTGGGTCATATATATATATATACCCAGACACTCCGTGTGTGCCATATATGCCGATCAGTTGGGGGTGGTTTTGGGGGTCCATGGGGCGGCAGTCCTATGGCAGTCCCATGGAGTGTATGGGATATATTTATATAATCCTACATCATGATCAAGGAGAGGGACTCTTTGTCTCACAAAGCCCACTTCCTGTCTGAGATTTCTGCTGTCTCTATTTTCTCCATGACGCAAACGTACCATCCACTTGGATCCCAGGGCCTGGATAGGGGGTATTTGCTGGTCCGCTGCATCTGTGAGGCCTAAAGCCATTTCTTCCGGCTGAAGCTTTGAGTTTGTTCAGGAAAGCCTGGGCCATGCAGAGTCACAGCGTCCGGATTTTTTGGCTCAAGACAGCTCAAGCAAACGCAAGTTACGCAAGCTGCAGAGATTCATCATGTTTAGCCCATTGTAGTTGTGACATGCTTGGATATGATTTGGTCAGTGCAAGCTATTTTGTTTCACTCACATCATCCGTGTGCGGTGTGCAGTGCAGCCAGCCATTTCTGAGCCTTCCCCATGGTCCAACCAACCAGCCAACCCCGGGCCAACCCCACAGACTGCAGACCATGGCTCCGTGATTATTGCAGACTGAGATCCAGCAAACTCGCATGGCCGTTTCCAGTAGATGAGCCTTTTCCAGGCGCGACCAGAGAATTTACTATATAGAGGCTGGACCCCACCTCCGGCGCGAAGGGTGGGCCACAGCCCTTTTTCTTCCAAGTGAACTTACTGTCGAAGTTTCGGATCATGATGAACAGTTGGCCTTCGTGACCCCAACTGGTTGCAGTTGGCCTTCGTGACCCCAAAAGAAGCTGCCGAACGTCGCTCGAAGCGCCGCCGAGCGCCGAGGCGCGGGAGTGGTGGAGCACCCAGGTGAGCGAAGATGAGGAGCCGGAACGCCCAGCGACGCCCAGCGATGGGAGCCCGGTGGAGGGAGAGTACCAAACATACCCAAAGCACTGGCAGGTGCGCTTGTACCAATGGGGTGAGTTGTTTTGCTCTAAGAAAGGCCCGCCTGGACCTTGTTTTGGTTTGTTGTTTCGGTTGGTTTGATGCCGAATCTCATGGCTAAAGGATCACTGAGGGGCTATTTGGTTTGTGTTGTTTGGTTGGTCGGTGGGTCGGTCGGTGGGTTGGTTGGTTGCTTGCTTGCTTGTTTGGTTGTTTGATATTGTTTGTTAGTTTGTGAGACAATAACTCGAACACACAGTATAGACAAGTCTAGCTAGAGTCTAAACTACTATAAACTGACTCTGAACCTACCACAATCACTTCTGGATGTTCCGAAATCCGACATCTCCTTGCGGCCGCGTGCCATTTCTTCCCGTCCACGGTTCGAACACCGTCAGGTTCGATGTGGGCTGCCTCTGTGTGGCCAACGTGGACAATGAGCCCGGGCTCCCGGTCTTCACAACGCCGATCGTTGACGATGCCTCGACCCGGTGTCGAGTTGGGGACGCGACTTCCGAGGCCCACGGGCGCGAACAAAATCATCATGGGCAGCTACCAGGGCATGCTGCGCATGTGCCCAGACAGCATATTTGGGAGGAAGGATGACGAAGGGATTTTTCACTTCTCCGAGTCAGCAGGAAACATTTGCGTCTGCTTTTCTGTGCTTTTAATCTTCTTTTGGTTGTTTCGGAAGTTCTGCAAGTCTGCAACTATTGTTTCTCGCTTCCTGGACTCCACGGTGGATGTTTTTTGGGCGTGTCAGACGGTATACCTTCAATTCATGCCTTTGTTCGCTACAGAAAACACATCATACCGCGTCTTTGGTGTGAGGTACTACCCCAAGCAGAAGGAATACAAGATCGAGGACCTCATCCTCGAGAGCAACGTCGAGGTGGCGGTTCTTTGGGGAACTGCCTCGCTGATGAGACCGAGCCGAGATGCCAAATCCGAAGACCCAGTGAAGTGTGTATTTGTCTTAGGTCTGAAGGTTTTTCTTCCGGGTCAATTTCCGGTTCGATTTCCGGTCTTAATACACGCGCACGTACCATCACGTACCTTGTTTTGTGGAGAAATACATGTGGGTCACCTCGTGTTGCCTGGCCATTTCGACATCACCGCCCCCCACGAAGAAGCGACGGCGATGGGCCATGACGGCGGCCATGACGGGCGTCCGTTCCAGCGTCGCTGCCACCTCTTGAGGTGACTTTGGAACCAAGAATGCACTTGGTGTTTGAGTCAAAATCAGTGTTGGAAGGCTATGGCTAGGGGCTAGACCATCTAGCTGTCTAACAAGCATTTCAATCCTCTGTCCACACGTCTGCAGTGTTGCAGACCGCCCCACTGGCGACCGCGCGACCGCGAAAAACCATCCGATCTCCCTCGTCTGTTCTGTGTCAGGCGCCCATCCTGCAGATCGAAGCTGGGCGCTTTGTTCAGGGGAGCGCGGCGTCTCAGTTGCCTCACTGAGCATCCAGAAAGAGGATGATCTGGGTTTCTTTTTTGGTCAAAACCGAACAAACATAACAGATGGATGAAGTGTTCTCTTTTGGATGCAGTGACATGCAGACATGGTTGTGATCTTATATGATCTTATGTTGTTGTTGAGTCGCACGAGTTCGATGGGGGGAGTTCGATGGCTTGACAGTGCCAAGATATATGGTGACTTGATAGGAGTTGATGGGAATGAACGGTGCCATCAACTTAGAGATAGATCGATCCTTTTTCTCTCACCCCAGTCATTTTCGGAGGTCTCGATCTATCACTGAATTTTTGCTCGACGCTCGAGCGATCTGAAGGGAAAACGATGTGAAGACGACGAGGTCGAGACACTTGCATGTCTCTGCTTCACCCGATGAAGTTGTCAGTCTACATGGTGTGTCTTGGCTGAACACATGTGAAGAGGCATGTGGACAGGAGGGGTGAAGGTGAAGAGGCATTGGGGCCGGGTGTTTCAAAGGGACACCGACAAAAGCCCTCGACAAAAGCGCATCAGTTGGGCCCCTTTCAATGTGTCCTTTAGGGGATGTTTCTGTGATGTTTCTGTGCTTTTGTTGCTTGTGGATCAGGTTGATTAGGGATTTCTACCTTAAGCATCCTTAAGCTACTTATCCTGGACAATCTTGAACGCCTTCTTTTGACGCAGATGGTCCTTGACTGTGACATCCTGCCGCAAAATCAGCCCAACGGTCTGCAGCAACAGACAGACCGTGACAGACCCCATGGTTTCGGTGTTTGCTTCCGATCATTGCAGAATGGTGAACGCACGAAGATCGAACGACCCAAACGGTCCGAGGTCTGCGGTGTCTTCGGGCTCGTCGGTGAACTACTATTCCATGGTTCCAGCCTATGAACACAAGCTTTTAAGGCCGCAAACGAAAGCCGTGGTGACGAGAAACAAAGAGAAACGCTGAATTGAGACCCGGTTGCTCCTCTTTGTAGCATGAGACTGTGGTGTTTGCACCATGCATGTAGCCCTATCATCAGATCAGATCACATCAGACAGGCCGGCATTCAACATGTGCTATGGCAGTTTCGGCTGGGAGCTCAAAACCGTTGAGCCCGTTGAGCGAGGTGGGGTTGAGCATGTTGACCAAGAGCATGTTTTCTGATGGGTCGTGCTGAAATCTTGGAGAGCCACTCTTGGACAACCACTGCTGCCTGTAGGTGGGACTTCCTTTGAAACTGGTAAGTGGTTTTGTTCCTCTATTCAGGTTATTCAGAGACAAATCTTGACAAATCCAAATTGCTGTCAATCATGTAGATAAGACTGAGCAATCAAAAGTACAACGCACTCGGAACTGAACCTGTCATGCTTTCCAAGTACGTCCGCGTCCTTTCCTAGTAGTGGGCAAAGTCAATAAGACCAAGCATAGAGAAACGATGAGAAATTCGGCCATCTCTCATGTTTCTCTCATGTTTCACAGAGATGTCAGCCTGCAACTGAACCATCATCATCCGCTGGGGACCCAACCCAATAGACCCAACCCAATGGGATATCGCTTTTCGGTTGAGGCGGTGTGAAGGACCGCGACTACTTTTGCATTCAGCTGCAGACTCAGAGAACTCTCGTCCTGAGACGAGACCTGTGACAGATTTCCCCCCTAAATCACCAGTATACGTGAGGGTCCAAAAAGGATCCAAACAAGAACCCATAAGAACCCTCACTGTCAAGTATAGGATTTGGCTAACATTTGCTAAACACCTTTACTTGATTGACTGAGAAAAACCCAAGAATCTCCACGCAGACTCTCCGCCGGATCCCGGATCCCGGCGACGTCTCGTCGGTCCCAGGTCTTTGGATGGCGTCCTGTCGTTCTTCGAGCAGGCGACACGCGAGAGACACGCCACGCGACGCGAGAGACAAGTGAAAACGAGTCAAAGACGGTAGAGAGTCCGACGCTCCCAAAGAACGAAGGATGGTCGCACACAGCGTTCCAAGAAAGGCGGCTGCAGCCACTTTTTTGTTTTGCACATAAGGCTTCACATCCGCGACATTCCACAGTAACAGTATATGTGACAGGGTTGCAGTGCGAGACGAAACCTGTAATGGGTGCCGTTCCATCGGTCGCTGAGACGGCCGATGGGATGGCCGTCTCGGCCCGTTCCTCGTCAGTTCCTTCGAGTCCTGGACTTACTTCCGGCCATCGATGGCTCTTGCCTCGTGTTCACCTGCAGTTGTTGCAGGAATCCTTTGCGTTCAGCAGGATGATTTCAGCAAGTTTTTTGCCGCTGACTCAGGTGGTTGAACAAAAAAACCGTTTGCGGACAGTTTCTATACTGAAGAATGAGCGGATGTGTTCCGTCTTGCCATCCATCTGCTCATCTGACCCCCCCGTCTTGCTCCTCAGGGTGCCTGGACCCATTTGCTACGTGCCAAAGATCGACAGTTTTGTCATTTGCCGCCTCGGTGAGGTGATATTCATCCTGGATCATCCAATGGGTCCAATGGGTCCAATGGGTCACTGGACAACCCTAGTCCCTACACATCACAGAGCTTTTTAGAGCATCATAGAGCTGTCCTGGACCTCCAGTTCGGACACCCATTGGATGATCCTGGCTGGAAGATTTTCGGTTTTTTGGCGTTTTTTCCACAAAAAGAGAGACGCAAGCCATCGGAGACCCATTTGTTTTTTGATTTTAACCCACCAAACCAAACTCTTAGCAGATTGGCAGTTGCGAATGAGAATGAGGAACGGGGTCAATAGAGGTCGCAGGATTTTGCTTTTGAGCATGTGTGACGCAGCTCAGGCACGAATGCAATGTGTATAGAGGCATACCGGTATCAGGCTCTGAAGTTATGCTTTGGGTTGCTGCTTCTTGTGATAGAAGGATGCTTGTGATCTCAAGACTACAAGAAGCTCTCTTGGAGGTTCTTGCTGCAGCAGCTGACAATGTAGATCAACTACCAGGCATGGTTTCGTTGTGTTTTGTTGATGATCGTCCAACATAGTTTTGGCCTCATGAAACAGGTGAAGGAGGTTCTGGCAAGAAAGTTCAGGCACGTGGGTGTTGGGAGTCGATGCGAAGATGTGCGAACATAATATGACAACACATTTGGCATTGGATATATATATATATACTATATGATGTATCAACATTGATGCAAAAAAGCTTCAATTCACGTGTTTTTTTTTTTAATGCAAATCACTATCAATATACGTATGTATAAATTATATATATACTCGACTCATAGCTATTTTTCCGTCCATGTTCCTGCTATTGGGCTTCTTCATCTCTTTGGTGTCTCCACACTGCATCTTCAGACCACACCCGGTCCACGCCCGGTCCACTACAGGTGGATTGGTCCACCAACATTGGCGAACACGCCCGGAGCATCGAAGTGGTTCGCTTTACCCGGTCCCTCTCGGCGAGCCAGCAGGCGGGCGGTTCGGGAGTTGGGTTCGGGTTCGGGTTCGACGGTGGGGCATCGGGTGGTCTTTTTTCCAACGCGCTTTGGAAACGGGCTTTACGATGTTTTACTTGAAGTAGCTGCAGAATTCCTGGCAGAATCCATCTGGAGCACTCATAAATACTAATGATTACTATACACATTCATAATCATTCATCCTTTTCTTTGGGCCCGTTCTCAGGCGGGTATTGGTGTGGCATGGGAGGGCTGCATACGGCTCATGGCTTGGCTCATGGGCACATGTTGATCAGTGTCGACTCTTGATGAATTTGTCACTGCACGATCCGTCCTCTCTCGATGTTCGACCCCGTCCAAAAAGGTTATAGGGCTTTAAGAGTTGTTTATTCATAAAACAACTACTGTTTGTATCTGTTTGTGATGATCTTTGACCTTGCTTTAGAAGGCAGCTTGGGCGCCGGTTTTCCACCTTGCTTGGGAGCTGCAAGTGATGGTCCAAGCGGACGAACGACCATCCCAGGAGATCCTCGTGGTGGGCGAACAAACCGTCTTCACGCTCAAGGAGATCCTCCTCGTCTCGGACGACACGACCGTCTCGATGGGTCTGAGGGGTCGGTAGTCGGTCATGGTCCGGTGAGGCACCCGTCTTTGGGACGGGGTCGAAAGAGATGAAACATATCACTTCAACACGAACCGTCAGACTACACTGTTACACTTGGACGAATTCAGGCAGACTCTTCGAACATTCGCACCTTCGCCAGGACAGTGGTGGCATCCGCCTGCAAAAGCGGCTGGCCGAGTATGGCATCAGTGCGGAGCTTGGGGAGAGGTCAGCAGGTAGGCTCAGATAGGTCTCGTGAAGTTTTTTTGAGCCCCAGCATCAGGAATGAGACTGACACTCCGGATGAATAAGCCCTCCTAATTACTACTAGAATTGCTTTGCATCTCCAGTTGATGGGGCGTTTTCTTCAACTTCGGACCCTGAAAACATGTTTTCAGGTGTTAGCAGCGATAGAAATCAAAGCCCGTGGTTGTAAAGGGCACATACGCATCCATACGCATAGAAACGTTCATCCTATCAGTGAGTGGTAGGGAGAACTAAAGGTGCATATGAAATTAGAGCTTTGCCACTTGGAAGTTGGCCAAGTTTGCCATACCCAACGTCCTTCCTTCATTCTACATACCATACCATACCGTAGCTAACTACTAGACTTCTTACCCTTTGGGAGTGAGGATCCTCAGACTCCCAGGGGGAGATGGGAGCCACGAATTGACACGACTCCCCCACACGATCTCTCCGTTTCAGACCGTAAAAAGACTGCCCATGAGGCCAGGGGCTTTTGGGATCATAGGATTTAGGCCTGTGGGATACAAAAAGCGCAGTCCCATTAGTCGTGTTTGGGACTGATTTGACATCAGTTCACGAAGTAAAAACTGCAGAAGTACCTGGCGCAAGGTGCGAACAACCTTCTGTTGAACAGCCAAGGTCTTGATCACAAGATCATTGCGGCTTAACAAGGCTTAAGCATCTTGAAGCTTTCACTGGCCATTTTTGACAGGTAGACGGTCTAAAACTCATGAGGATCCCATCTAGGCATGAGGATGGAGGGGTTGGGTGCAGCAATGTATGTGGTCCATCCGCCGCCGCTCCCAGCTGCTTCCATCGCCTACAAGATGCCAGCAGAATCTCCTGATGCCGCTGGTCCGAAGTGAAGGAGCTTGTGGTGTTTTTTGGTTGAAGAACCTTGTGGTACAGATTCTAGCAACATGATGTTAAGACCAATCACCTATTCCAAATTTGGAGAATGAGACCCAAAGATTACATGATCCATAATTTTGGCAGCCCAGAGAGAATCTTCCACTCGGCTCAGACTGCTGGGTTTGGTGGACTGCCAAAGACGATTGTTTTCGACATGTTGCCAAACACTGCAGCAACTGACATGTAAATTAAATACAGTGACATGGCTGTAGGTCATGGCACCTGGATACTGATCCGTTGACCTTTCGTAAACGTGTCGGTCGTGCTTGCACGACCGACGTGTCGGTCGTTCTGAGAGGGCAAAATACATGTTTGACCCATCTAAAACCCCTGATCTCCGGATCCATCGTGCACAAAAAAATAGAAGAAGAAAATTAGACGATCGCGGCAGGTCGCCGGATCTCTTTTTTTTTGGCCGCCGTTCCGTGGCTCGCTAGGACAGGAGAACATGCTCTTACCATGGCTTTAAGAACGTGTTGTTCTTCAGCTTATGTGTTGCTCTTCAGTGAGTTAGAGGAGGGAAGATGTTGGTTAGACTGTTCGACGACTGGAATTTTGAGGCAAGGATTTACCCTGCTGTCGCAATGCCCCAACGGTGCTGAACTATTTCCAAACCAGGTTGAACATGCTTCAATGTCCCCAATCAATCCATAGCCGGGTTTCTTAGGCAAAGCTGATGTATAAGCTGCACAAACACACACAGACCTGACATGATGCCACATTTATGATTCCAATGTCAGATGCGTTTGTTTTTAGAGGGTGGCTGGATACCACTAGTGAAAGGGGAGGGCAAGAAGACGACCTGGGCGGATTGACCATCTGTGACCACCAATTGACCGTACTTCTACAGGGTGTTTCCGATGATTTGCCATAGAATTGGACCAAAACATATATAGGAAATTGAATAGAATTTGATGAATCGAAGTTCCAATCGAAGTGTTCTGCAAGGCGCTAGCAAATCACAATCTGATTCTTGGGACAAACACAGGTGCAGCACTCAGACACGAAACAGCTGACGTGAAACAGGCAACAGGCTGACTGGCTGACCACTGGTCGCGACGAACTGGTCGAAAGTCCCTAAAGATGCGAGACAACAACAACGGCAAGCTGTGAAAAAAGAGGGTGTGTTATGTGTGTGTTTTTCATGTGTCGATCGGAGATGTTTCGTTGTCTCCAAACTCCCATGACAACGCCGTAACTGATGTGGTGCTTTCTCAGGTTTTCGTCGCGACATCGAAGTATCGAAGCTAAGGTCACTTGCTGATCTTGAAGGAGATGCAGCTGGTGTGGTGCGCACGCTTGCAGGGGATGGTCCAGACCTTGGTTTCACCCCAGGAAGCGAAGCGCCTCACGTCACGTGGAGAACGCGAGAGTGATCCATGAGAACACCAACGAGTCAAACGAGACGGAGGTCGGACGAAGCTCCGATGAGGCCGTTTAAAGCATGTTTTCAACCCTAACTCGAGGCCTGAAGAGCTTCTTACAATCCAAATGAAAAGGTTGAATTAATCAAGAGTCTACAGTAGATGTTGGGGTCGAAGACGGAAGGTGACTCCTTCTTCTTGAGTGGCACACTTACTGTAAGGTGCCAGCGCAGATTTGTGTCGATACCCTTGGCGGCATTCGAGGTGGATGGGTAGGTTTCATTTGTTTGGACCACGCAAAAAATGACTCGCGAGTCCGGGCTTTGGTGTTCCTAGATTATTGCACTCAGAGCAGCGATGTGGAGTGGTTGGTTTCGAAGGGTTCTTTTCACAAAGCAGTGACAGTCATTTCCGTGTGATGTTCACCTTTGTTCGTAAAGCTTGCGGGCTGCGGATCTATCCTTACAAGATTTCCCTCCTTCAGGACTTTGGTTTTGCCTTCTTGTCCGGTTTTGTTGACGGCATTCATATGACTTATCCTGTTCGGGCCGTTCCGGTCTTTTGTATGCTCTTGCGTTGGCTGCTTTAGCCATGGTGAATGGGCGTGATCCTTGAGGTCTCATTTCAACCGGAATCTTCGTCAATTTTGTTCTTCTATCTATGCTTTACCCCTTCCAGCCGTTGATTCAGTGTAGAGGGCGACGGTGAAGTGGACACCCTCATTTGTTAACGGGTAGCGAGTTTGAGACAAAGGCCCGTCTTCACCGTATAGTTGTCTTGTCATATTTCATATTGATTTTATTACAAGCTTGTTTCTTTGGGTAGGCATTGCGTGTTCAATATCCTAGGCAAGTGCAAACTGGACGTGATTTTTTTTATTGTTTCTTTGATCCCTGTGCGAATTTCCTCTAAAGAATCAGACAACCCGGGTTGTCACAAAAAATGACAACGGATGAAAACATACAGTGCCAGTCTACAACCGGAACCTGGGGTTCCCATTTTCTATAAGGGCAAGAGATGATTGATTTATTAGAGAATTTGGTTGTCGAGCAATACCTCGAGATTGGTGCTGATTCTTTAGAGGAAAGAGTGATTGCAAAGCCAGATTTGCACATCCAAGCACGGGCTCAACCCACAGATGAGAGCATGAAGAACCATGACCTCTGCAAGTGAAGAACAACATGCATGAATCGACTTCGGACTGTCTGATTCTTTAGGCCTTTGGCCTTTTCCTTCAAGTCTCCAATTCTTTAGCAGAGGCATTCTGGTGTCCTTGATTCTTTAGAGAATGTCCTTGATTCTTTAGTGCCACTTCTGGACCCTGGAAGTTCCTAAAGAATTGCCAGTCCGGGTGTGAGTGCGAATTCAAAGGGGGATTTTCTTTGGGTAGGCATGATGGTGCTGATGGACTACAAGGGCAAGTTGCAAGCTTGTTATTTGGGCCTGCCACTCAGCACACGCAGCAGTCCGCTCCGATTTCTCGGTCAGGTCTTTCTCTCCGTTGGCCCGTCGGCCCGTCGGTTGGAGCTTGCAAGTGAGGCACCGACCCACCCACGGCCAGTTTGGTGAACACTGAGATGAAGGACTGGATTTGTTTTTTTGTAAGGATCTTAGAGGCTCATGACGTCAATAAGTCATCCTGCAAGGGCCAGTTTTTGTTTTTATTTTCTATTTTTTCTGGACTTCATTCTTCACCAAAGACAGCGCATGACCGTCCAGATCCCCAACTTCCACCATCTTGACTCACTCCGCTGTTGATGCACTCCAGGCGTTTCGGTTCCCTCTTTCTGCTTGTTTCGGTGACTCGTTTTCTGGAACCTCCGGTCCAAGACGCGAGAGAGACGCGCGGTAGGAGCTCAACTATGACGAGATGGAGGAAGAACATCAGGCGCCATGGCGCCATGCGCTTTGAAGCGCTTTGAAGCGCGTTTTCCACAGCTCTCTTTCGACGCTTTGTGATGCGCTTTCATGTTATCACCTCATCAAATGGTTTTGCCGCGAAAGCAGCAAACTAACTGAGCATCAGCCAATAAACAGTGTCCATTCCTTTAGCAGAATGATGTGATGCTGGAAATGCTTATGTTTACTCATTGCATTACATGCACTATCATCACCAAACAACTTTAAACCACAAGCATTGGCATTGACTCCACCCCTGCCAAGGGCAGCCTATTTCTTTCTTCCAGCAAAAATTGAACATACTTTTAATCAGCTGCACCTGTTGGGGAGGACCTGCTTCGAATCATCAGGTGGTTGCCTCAGCGGGTCGCTGTGAAATCCAGTCGATTGATTGGGTGGTTGAGCCATTATCTGTCCTAGAAGTGGGGGGGTTTTCTACATCTTTGAGAGCCACCAACTTATCAGGTGTAATAGCGCTGCTATTTTTGCTGGGTCGCTGTTCATGAAGTACTGAGCGGTCGTGGATGCCGTAATGAATTGGACCCACGGCAAGTGACGTGGGTGGTGATGTCTATCCCTGGAGGTCCAAGGACCACCAAAACCGGCGATTTGTTGCTTTTCTTCCAGGTTTTGGGGTTGCGAAGTCACAAACCACCTGTGAAGGAGTTTGTTTTCAGGCAGACGCATGGTGACGGAGCAGCAGAGCCTGAAGAAAGCCTGACGGTGGAAGCGCAGGTGCAAGTTCTTGGCGTATGGGTTGGGCGCAAACATTTCAAGGCAAGTTTGGTTTCAGAACGTCCTGGGTGAACTTGACGAGAGGTCCCTCAAGTGCTCGATTTGGGCATGAATGAGGACGACTGTGACGCTGCCACTTGGCAATGATTCTGCAGATTACAAAAGCGACCCCGAAAGGGGGACCCCCTTCGCTGCCCCCGAAGACCTTCAGGTGTTTGATCCCAAGATGTGACGGCCAAGTGTGTCGGTGGTGCAACCTTTTTCTTTCACTGCCTTTGTTTGAAGCGAAATTCCATCCAAATCCCACCACTTTTTTTGGGAATGTATCCGTTTTATCCAAGGAATAAATTGCATATTTTATCGGGCAAAAAGGACGCACCATCTCCTTCCAGGTGTCGCACACCCTGGGATCTGCGGCTCGACCCACGCGCTCTGCGCACGCTCTAAGGATGACCCCGTGGGACGATCCGATGGCCCACGGCTGAGGATGTGAGCAGAAGGGGACCACTTCAGAGATGCTTCCGAACTTTTGTTTTTTTTCATAACGACCCTTCTACGGCATGTACCTCATTGTACCTCTACCTAGTGGCATTGCTGTTTTTCCTTAGGATACTTGATAAAATCTTTGGTAAAATGTCTTAAGATCTCCTAACCACTATTTTTTTCCTGCCTCATGTCCTAAGAGTTCCTAACCACTGTTTTTGTTTTTTTTTTTTTAAACATGCCTCTGCCTATGTTGTACCCTGCAACAAAGCTTGGTGAGTTTTGTGTCCTCTCGATTTTTTGGGACTGGCGTGTGCTTGGACCGGCTACGGTGAACCGGTCCACAGCACCATCCTCCAACCACACGGTGCTGTGGATCCACGGTGCTGGGACTTGTTTGGTCTTTTTTCGGGTCCTGGGAGTTATGGTTTTTGTGAAACCGAATGAATGAGCTCGACTCTAGGGATGGTCATGCAGCTCACTGTGCACATCATGGTGACCTTGCGTGGCAGCAAGCCAGTGGAGAATGCTGGAAGCTCAGTTCTTTTCTTTCTTGTAGCGAAGCTTCCAGAGGGTTTTCAATGGTTGACGTAAATCATGGGCGGCCAGTTATGGGTTGATGATTTGACATCAAAATGGGGCATGTCTCCCCAAGCAAAAGGATTCGATCTCCTTTATTTCCTTAAGACACCAGTCCTTTGTTTCGACGCGTGCAGAACTGGTTCATTCAGGTGTCGATCACCCTGAAGGCGTGCTGGGAGCGCCGTTGCTTCAGATGGCCTGGAAAAAAGGGGGATTCTTCCAAAGATATCCAAGAGATTCCAAAAGCTTGTTCACAGCCACTTCGATCGTTTGTTTTTTCAGCTGCGCTGCGTGGGCTCTCGCAGGCTTCGTCTTTGTGTGCCTTGCAGTGGAGATGACTGGACTTGTTACCATGCTTCTCCTCCAACCATCTTACCATTCCTAGTCACAACATCCAAAAGTGAGTACACAGGTTCCTTGCTTCACTCCTGGATTCTGCTAGGCGCCTCAATGTTTTCACCTCTCACAGAGCTCTGTCTTCATCGAGAAGGCTAGGCTTCGGACTGGGAGAGCGGGGCTCTTTCAGAGGGTTTCCTTGAGCTGGGAGAGTCCTGCACCCCAAATACTACTCTCAAGACCTCTCATACGAGTCTTCCTCCGACACCCACACAAGACTTGGGGGTGAGAAGGCGAAATCGCTAGAAGCATGCTGAAGCGCACGTGCACGTGCACGTTTTCGCATGTACTGGGGCCGCAGTCAATGCCAAAACTTCTTCAACTGAGTCCTGCAGCAGCTTCAGGTCCTTTCTGTTCAACCTCTACTTGGGATGATTGATTCCACTGACTCATATTTTTCAAGTGAGTTGAAAGCACCAACCAGTTGTGTGTTCATCCATCCACCTGGTCAATCAAGGTCAGACCCTCTTCACATGTACCAGCCACACAGTACGGCATCACCGGGTGGATCAGTGGATCAGTGGATTGCTGGAGCCCAAAAAGGTCGTCCGTCAAAGGATGTGTGGCAAAAGAGCCTGCGGCGCCCTTTTTGAGGTCGATCCCGGAGCGCCTCCGGTGATCGTTCCGATCCTGGTCCGAGTGCTGGAGAGCCCAGGGTCGAAGGGGACCCGGTTGGGGCGGCGGAGAACTCGCCGCTTCGCCCCGTCGGTTCCCGGTAGCGCCGTGAGCGCTTCGCTTCGCGCCTCGTGAACTCCGGTCGGGTGCCGAACATCGGATGGATCGTCATGTCAACATGTCCATCGTTTCGTCACTGGTCCATTTCGGAAGTGGAGAACCAATGAACCAATGAACCCTTTTAAGCATTTTTGCCCAAACATGACTTGATCGCGCACCGAGACGTATAGATGACTCTTCCTACCAGAGAACCAGAGACGGACCCACCCACCCACTAAAGTGGATCACTCGCTGGCTCACTCCGCTCCGCTGGGACCGTCGTGCGCAGCCTGCGCAGCCTGCTGCGAGATGCTGCGCAGCCTGCTGCGAGCGACTGTGAGGTGGAACAAGATCCTTTGCTCCGGTCTCGAAGTCATGGTCTGCGCAGCGTGCCCTCTCGACGACTCTCCACGAGAACCACGAACGAGACGAGAGAGTAGTGCAGCCGATGCCTGAAGACCGGGTGCGGATGAGCCAAAAGACCGTGAGGTGGAGCCAATGAGGAGTGCTGCTTTTTCACTGTTGGTTGAGATGAATGAATTTCAGGCTTCTGAGTGGTATAGAGGTGAATGTGAGAATGATGCTGATACGCTGGCACCAGACAATGCAATCCTTCTCAAATTTGCTGTGTGAACCAGTGTTAGTGTTTTTGGGTCCCTTTTGTCACGCACTTGTTTGCAGACCATTTTCTTGAACAACTCAAGATGTGTGATTTGGACATGACTTGGACACCCGAGAATCTTCTTCATCTAGAGACAAACGTTTGACCGCTCTAGCCAACACATACCAACACCAACTGCCATGAGACGAGCCTTTTGGAGACGTTTGGAGACGCCTCTTTGCAGACCACATCCTTGCAGCCCACGTCACCAGCAGCACAGGTACTTCTCGATGAACAACGAGCCACGAACGGCTGCGACCACTTTTGGTTTGCCCTTTGCTTTGGTGGAAGTGACCTCAGTTACAAAGATCTTTCAAGAAATGCATGGTATAGCCGGCAAAAAGCTCGATCAAGTAAGATCGCAATCATCAATATTAGTCTGCAAGTCTGGGAGTTTCCTTAGCCAGTGTGACGTCTGCAAGTCCGGGCATGATTCCGTGTCGAACTCGTTGAACTCGGAGTTCGGTTTAGAACCATGTCCGATCGTCGGGAGGTTCGGTTTAGAATCGTTTTTCGCGGTGAACACCGATGCTGGCGTCACTCAAGACGCAAGGCCAAGCCAATACCACCAGTGAAGAGTGCCAACCACAAGATCCAGCTGGACTGCAACAAGCGCAAGCCCCAGAGAGACGAGAGCGAGAGCGAGAGAGGGTGAGATTCGACGATCTTTTCTGGGTGCCACCCGGCGAGAGAGGTGTCTTTCCGGAAGGTCATTTCTCTACAATTTGGCCAAGCCTGCAGTTTTTGCAGAAACCATTCTGCTTACTCGCTCAGCAATCAGTCAGTACGCTGGTTCAATCCCAAGAATACCCTGCCAGCCAGGCAGCCCCCAGCGCTGCAGACCTTGTTTGCAGGGTTGCTGAATCAGCCGCATGTGCTGGGAACTCAATGGCATTCTTCGCTTGACAGTGCCAGGGATGGTTGAACCAGTCAGACCCGACCCAACAAACAACAAGACATGGCGTTTCTGGAGAACCAGTGTAGATGCCCCGGACCAGACGACGGATCCGCTTCTCTCCCCTTGCCTTCAAAAGCCTTTCAGGAAGAAAGGCCCGTCTGACGTGTCGGTTCTTTTGTGGTCCGATTGATACGAGGCGAACCCAACCGATCCTTGGAGGAGCCCTCCCCTCTTTTTTCGCTATCAAAGAGACAGGTAAGTCGTCACTATATACTATATGTCACTATAGGTCACTGGCGAGGAACATAGAGGAACATTTGGGGTGGTTTCTTTGTATTTTTTGCAAGAGATGAAGCTGCACCAAGCGGAGGAGCCGCTTTGAGCCCTACAGATCCTAGAGATCCTACAGTACCCTACGACGGATGCTTCAGGATTTGAACATACTTTGTTCTCCTGACGGGTTCACCTGAGGGACCCATGGTTGATCAGGTCCCCATCATTGAGTCAAGGCATGCTGGAAGCTCAGACGCTTTGGCAAGGAAAGCACAGTTCTGTTGATGTGTTTGGCAATCGCTGCTTGGAAATGGGTTTTCCACACCTGCTTTTTGGATTTTTTGGTGTGTTGGAGTCTTTTTGCATGCCACACTTGGCCACACCTCCAGCTCTTCATGAAACACCCTAGACTAGCCCACAAAACCCAACTGATGTTGACCGCGGGGTTGGGCGCTTGAAACATTCGGTTGGGCGCAGATGCCTCCGATGCCTCCGGGTCGGACATTTTTGAGGTCCAACTTGCTCTCCATTCAGTATGTCTCTGGCACTGAAGCGACCGTGCTGGTGTTTCTTAGCTCAAAGAGCAGGAAAAAGGCATCCTGAAAGGTCCCAAGAAAGAACAACATGGGGACGTGTCATCATGCTATCCCATGAAAACGTTTCATGGTTCACTTCGGGGTTGGACCACCTTTCAGGAAAGACCTCGGCTGCAATTCTGAATACAATTGATATTTCGATCTTCATTATTACTCCTGAGAAAGCTTGTAGATTCATGTCCGATCCTGAGAAAGAGTCTATCAAACTTGATCCTTGTGCTTTGTTTCTGTGAGCCCTTGTGCTCAGCATCTTCATACATCAGCATGTACAGGCATGTACAGGCCAAATTGATTCTCAGACACCATCCAAGACCTCGGTGAGCACCCACGGTTCCACCGCAGACCACGGATGGTCCCCGCACGGTTCCCCCGGCTTCGCCGCGGCCGCGGTGCCGCCGACACACCAGGTTGAAGAGCAGCGGACGCTTTTGCGTCCAGGCGACCGAGTTCGCGGCCTTGTGGGTCCTCACGGAGGAGCGGTGTCCATCGGTCGGGTCGGTCGCTGTGTCGATGGGTGGGTGGTTTGGCCGTCCGTGGCCGTGGAGGGTCGTGGCAGGCCGAGAATCTAGACGGTCGTTGTGTTTGGAAGTCGTTTTTGGTGTTAGGAAATGAGTGAGGAGTCCCTAAGACTTAAGCCACTGGACTGGATCCATGTGGTAAAAAGATCGTGGAATCCTGTATGTTTTCGGAGTTTGTGTGGTCGTTTGAGTTCGTCTAATGACTATTATAGATATATAGTTATATATATATAAGTGTGTGCCGGTTTGTTTTGTGGACTTCAGTTTTGACCAAGCACTCCGAAATCGTGAGGAGTTGTGCCAGAGGCTGCAGGACTACTTTGGCCCAGGGGGTGAAGGCCTGGCCGAGTCGGCAAAGGGAGGCTGCTGGGCCAGGGCCAGGAGTCGGCTGGGCGGCTGGATGCCAGCTTCTCCCCAAATACTTGGTGGTCAGCTAGGCTTGAACCAGCTCTAACCCGTAATAGCATGTCTACAGCGATCGGTTGTGGTACTCAAAAATATAGCTCCCTTTAAAAACACTGATGTTTGGGCACTCAAAAGGGGTTTTGAGACTCCAGCCATTTGATGCTCAGACCTACGGATTGGTAGGGACCGCCTTTTTTTACGGATATCCAGGGTGCTTGATTTGAGAACAACAGAACATGTCGCTTCTTCTCCCACAGCCGGCTTACGGCGGCCAGATTCCCCGGCCGAAACCTTCCCCAAAAACGGGGACTGATGGAAGAAGGGCAATCTGAACCGTGGAGCATGGATCAGAATAGCAATAACATCATGCACCAACTAGGCCTGAATGATCCTGACACTCAATATGAATTGCACTTGATTGACATCACTTGACCAAAAGAAAGACACCAGTGTGATCAGCAGCCTGAGCCAATCAGCCTGAACACCAATTCACTCAATCCCAAACCCCGAGAACGGTCCTGGACCCCAGGTGAATTTGAGAGCCGCCCCTCGCCTCGTCGTTTTTTCTTTTTGGTCAGGAGCTGTGCCGGAGGGCGAGGAGAGCGGACCTGCTCGACCAAAAGCAGAACAGCACTCTGATATGCTTGGGTTTGGTGAAAGACCTTGGCGCGCCAAGAACAGAGGTCATCGCTGGTATCGCAGGTGGTCATACCAATTGTCAACTTGACAAACGCTCGTGGGTCTTTTTCGTCCGTTCATCTCCAAACGACTGGAGACAGGAGCCCTTCTTCATCACCTTCCAGGACAGCTTACCACTGCCGGGGCTCCCGTGAATGGAGGAGAGAAAGAGGAACACCCGTGGAACACCCATGACAGGAAGAGCACGGAAATTCACCAAGCTTGAGTGAAGGACACCACCAAGCGATGTGAAGGACACCATCATGTTACCACCAAGCTTGAGGGAAAGACATAAACGCGATCCTGCGGAGTGACTGTGAAGATTGGGCCTTTTGATGGATCAAGGCATGACTACTTCGCGCTGATTGATGATCACTTTGAGCTACGAAGACATCTGGATGAGTTGAGAAAGGCGCGGGGGACCAGGATGAACTGGATCAACTGCCCACGGGCTCAAGAAGAAGATCAAAGAGCTCAAAGGCCTGGGAGGGAACATCATGGAGAACCTACATTTTCTCGCTTTCTCTCCATGTCAAATCAGTTCTAAATCTTCAGACCCTTGGTCGCTCCTCAGAAGGGCTCCTCTTCACTTCTGCACTGCTTCGGCTGAGAAGTGGCACTGTCAGGATCTGGCAGATCGTACCCAGCAGTACCGCGTCATTCAGAAGCGATTGTCAAAGGCTTAGGGGTTACACCTTCTTGTTGAAGGGTGTATCCGCATCGGATTGCGGATGTAGGATGATGTAGGATGATGTACGTGGATCATGGATGAGATGTCGGGTCTATCAACATCTGTCGACTATTGGTTGAAGCTCAGGTTTCTTGTAATCTCTTATGGTTTCTTGGTTGATTCACAGGCCCCAGACCTGTGTTTTGCGTGATTTGTGCAATTTAGTATCACCCTTTTTGTGGAATCCAGTGCCAACCAAACTATCATCAACTCATCCCAACTCGATGGTCGGAGTGACCGGGACATGGCGTCGATGCATGTCTAGTCACCCTTCCGCTAACCTTCAGTTTAAGCATTGAAAGAAAGGTTGACCTGGTGCGGTAGTCTTAAAAAATCATAGTAAAGCAATGGTTGTTCGGTACAACCCATTAAATCAATGGTGGAATCCTATGGATTCCACTCCGCAAAGAAACAGCACATCGGTGGACCGAAAGGACTTGCCGTTCTTTTCACGTTCTTTTTTCAGTCTCGTCTCTGACCCGCTCGCCCGCGACCCGGTCGCCCACGTGGTCCGGAACCAGTCTGACTGAGGCTGGTTCGCTTTAAGGACCGAAACCCTTCACCGCTCAATCACCTGGACACCTTGTTGGGGGCCTCGGCAGTCGCCCGGGCAGCCGCTGGCACCTTTTGGGCTTGGTCGGGGCGACAGGAGCGATGTCTTGCTTTGACCAAAAGAATCCAGGTCAGACATGGTCGGACCCTTAAATGGGTCCTGGTGCCATAAACCAGACCGGTGTGAATGACTTTCGAGAAAGAGTATATATCTCATTGGTCTTTTGGGGGTGTCCGGCGTTGCGCGTTTTCTGATGCGTTCCTTAAACATCCTTAAACACGGCGCAGCCATGTGGGGCACAAGCAAGGCTGAACCTCACCTTTGAGCAGACCATCCTCTTAACAGACGCCATAGACGACGTGGAGCAAGCTCTTCGAACGGTGAGCTCAGCTCAGCTGCGACTTGCGTAGCGGCGACTAGCCGGGCTAAGCAGTGAAATGAGCGATTCTTGGTTCCCTCTTCAAGAATTGGGGGACATTGACCGAGGTACCCTATGGGGAAACAGCTCCGTTCCGCACACTTCCTTCTTGAGTGGGTCGATCTCAAATGCTTCCTCGACTCCGTCCATACATTATGTTAATCAAGCAAGGATTTTTGCAGAACTTGATATGAAGGGTGTGCACTGCAAGGTTTGTTTTGGCTGGGGGGGAGTGGAGGATTTCTTCTATCAACAGCACCGTACCAACAGGCAACAGGGACACTACATGACAAGGCATTGTGCGAACAAATCATCATTTTCTCCATTTTGCTGTTACAATATAAGGAGGAGTAATCAAACAATATCAAACGGATTAGGACAAATCTCCAATTGACTCCATGTATACACATATGTTTTCTATTTGTTTACCATATGTTTTCTATTTTCAAGTCGACGATTTACTCCATGTCTTGACCAGCACACACACACGCCCGCTCCCAGCACCTGGACCCCTATCAGGGTGAGTCCTGGACTCCATTTGGACAGATCGGGACGGCTGGCAGCGGTGGGCTGCGGCTGCACCCGGAACTGGACATGAACATGTTCCAACCAACATATCGGGGAGATATGGGTGGTTGGTGACTGAAGTCGGTATTTGTTCTTGCGGTCTTTCTCCCCCTCCTTTTCCGGACGGAATGCACCCCCACACCACAAGTTGCTGAGCAGGAAAAGGACCATCAATCCATCAATGGGCGTCCGAAATCGGTTTCCCCAGGTCTCTTGCCATTTGTCCGCGGCCACAGAGCCGGAGCCCTGGTCGGCGGGGCTACTGCAGCAGAAAACTGTGGAGATCAAAAAGAAATCATTCCCAAACACGACCCGTCTGGGACTGCCATAGGACTGCCGATCAGTTGGGGTGGTTGACTGGGGGTCAATGGGGCGGCAGTCCTATGGCAGTCCAATTAGTCGTGTCTGGGATTCATATGGATTCATCTTTGCACGGCTCAAGCTGCCGCTCCTTGCTGTGACTCCTTGCTGCCTCCTTCCGAGTCAGAACGGCAAGGAGTCACGGCGCCGGAGAAGAGCGAGCGCAGCCGCAAAGCGACAAAAATGCCGTCAGAGGGGGACGTGGTAAGCCTCTTTGTATGTTGAACAAAGCCATAGAAGACTGAGTACACAGCCACGGAAGTAGAACATTGTTTATCTTAATTCCGGTTCTACGAAGATGGTTCTACGAAGAAAAAGCGGGGCTGAAACGATTCAATCCCTGTTTCCTGCTATTGGCAGCTGCTGCATGCGTCGCCTCCACCTTGTTGAGGCTGATCCTTCTTCTCATCAAGTTCAGATTTGGGCTCGATGAGGATAACTTCAGCGTACTGAGAAGGCACAGATACTTCAGCCCAATGCTTTTTCCTGGTGCACTTTTGTGTGGGGGTTTCCACGAAGGATCAACAATCCATTCCATTCCTAATTGCACCGCTCAAATAAGGGGGTATCACCATATCAGGGAATCACGAAACGGAAACTCGTGGCGGCTCTGTGTGAATCTAGACATATAGATAGAATGATATAGACATATAAAGTCGACGTATATCATGTATTTGACACGTTTGTTTCTTTTTTTTGCAGGCATTTCTCGCCCGAGATTTGCGACACCACGGAGCAGGGTTGGGAGGAGAAGGCCTGGTAACTTGGATTTCGAGATCGAGATCCATGCAGTTCCAAGAACTCATCCATGCAGCGCATTGCTTTCTTATGCTTTCTTCTTTCATCTTCTTTCTGGTTCTCATCAACTCCTCCAAATCCTAGGGATTCTTGGTGCGCTGAATCTCTCAATTCTTCGACCCATGCATTTGGTAATGAAGCATGTTTACCTCACGTGAGAAACGAATCATACTCAATCCAAGGATTTGTCCATTAGGATTCCGCAGATTCCGAGGTCGACACCTCGTTGCTTCATCTTCTGCGAACTTCCTTGGCCGGCAACTGATAGAAACCAAAACAACACAACACCTCGGATCGGTGAATACACGCAGGGCAAGAAAAACTCTTGGGTGTCCCGTTTTAGAATGGTTTAGACGTGACAAGAGATGATCTATGCACCAAACTTGGCCTGAACACATCGCATCATTTGCCCACCAGGAACCAGGTTCAGCAACCACTTGGATCGTTCAAACAGTGGGTTCTTCACTCGAAGCCGGAAATACGAAGTAATGAACCTGCCCAAACGGCGCCATCTGCTAAGGCTCGCAGCGCTAAGGATCGGAATACTCTTCCTCCGCCCATGAAGGTCCCACAGGAGAGACCTTTCTTTCTTTCAATTCTCAAATGTGATGCATTTGCCTCTCAAACAGCTATGATGTTGCCATTGTCATCTATTGTGTGCTTTTTCTTTTCCTCTGAAGGTTTTTCACCTCGGGTCATCTCCGAAGTCGTCTCCGCAAAAAGCCGTCCAGGACACCATGAAGCTACGGAAGCGCATCACCAACGTTCGGGGCGCCCAGAGGGCCGTGGCCCAGCAGGAGCACCTAGAGCCCGGTGCCAGCGATGGTTTGAGCTTCTGGAAGGCACCAGCGTACGGAGCAGACTGGAAGGCAGACTTTTGGGCCAAACCGGCAGGTCGTTCGCTTGGTTGGCTGTTGCGTTCAGTTCAGAGGAACGCCGAAAAGATCTCCAATATGCAATTCTTGGGCCAAATGTGTAGTGAATTTCTTGAAAAGAACCAGCTCCGGAAGAGCTTGTTGAAGCTGAAGTCCGAAGGGAGTTAGAGGAGAATGTATCCTGAATCCTGATGGAGTTTTCCCATGTTGGATCCTGCAAGATGCCAGACATTCTACGCATCCTGAATCTCAGTTTGGGATCAGTACAATCACTAGACCATTGCCCACAAGCCTGCGGACATGTTGCAGATCGCGATATCCAAGATGAGAAAGCTGCCATGTACCAACTGAAGCCCTTCTACGGCTAGACCCCCAGAAATATAGGCCAAGACCATAAGACTCTATCCGTCCAAATACAGGGAGGATCTCCCAAAAAGAGCAACAAGAGTTATGATGGCTGCCCAAAAACATGGACTGGCTCGTGGATTCAGACATGTATATATATATATATATATGTTCCACCTTTTACTTGAGATGATTGACCCCCCACTGAGGACCGTAACCCACCCGTTGTGGACCGTTTGACCGTTGACCGTTGACACCCGCCACACCGCTGCCGGGTCCATTGAGGTGGTGGATCGTTTGGCCACTGGTGCAAGGGTCACCGATGTGGATTCAGGCGGTCCAGAGCCCAGCGGGTGGTTGAAGGGGCTAGGGCGGAAGTGGTTAGTGGATGTTAGTGGTTTGTTTGGGAGCAAGGGATGGGGGTGACTTCTCTTGAAGCGTTTGAATCATGGCGAATCTGTTGGATCATGGTGAATCCGTTGGATCATGTTGGATCAAAAGCAGGGGTATCCTTTCTATTGGTTGAACAAACATGAAACTGGTTGAAACTGTACAGTTTTGGTGAGAAAAAACATCTACACATATCTACACATTGAGTTTAAGATGGGCCTTTGTTGGGCATTTGCTCAGGCCCTGTCGTGGAAGCTGCCGAGGAAGAGATCATGCCACCGGAGGAGAGCACTGATAGTTTTGCTGCTAGTAGCATGCTGGTGCTTCTTGCTGAGAATTGGGTTTGTGTTAAACGGAAGGGGATCTATGATATATATACAAAATATATATATATTATATTATTATGTATATTACATTACGTTTACTTTTTTATGGAATATAATACATATATATATATGAGGGTTTCTATGAACTCCTCGATGCCACTGTTCTTGCTTCGGGAGGCCATGAAATCCAAGAGAATTCCCCGACAATGCAGGACTATGGTGGTGACGCTGGCGATGGCGGTGAGCAATGAAGATGTTCATGCTGGCTTGCCAATGTTGTTAAAGACCAGCATGGTGTAAAATTCAGGATTGCAACATATTGCAAAGATGGGTGTGGCTGTGGGTCAAGAGCTGATTTGCTTCACGATAGATCCAAATCGGGGACGTGAATGTTCGTTGGTGTGGGAGACTGCGCGGTGTGACCCACACCCAAGTGGATTGCAAAGGTCAGATGTGTCCAATAAAGAATTTGCGCTAGGGCAGGGCGAAATTTGGCTCAGCCTTTCCGTATGCTTCCTAGCATTCATCAGGGACTGCTCGCTCAAGTGCCTTCTGTTCATATTCTATGGACACCAGATTGTAGCAATTGACAACGTCTGGAATCTTGCTTTTTAACACCGTTCGCCGTTCGCTATTGCAGAGAGCGAGTGCTGTTTTCGATGCCAGCGGCCATACATGCACCTTTACGACCAGATGTGCGAGCAGAGCAGAGGAACCTCCGCTTTTGCGAAAGAAAAGCGACTTCTCTCGACATGTTTGGCCAAAAAACACTATAGTCTTCGAATTTTGATCGACTCTCCAAAAGGAACATCACCACAATATCTACCTTTCTTTTTGTATCGTTTTGTACAATGTAGGTTTATCAAAACAAAGTCTTAGGACCCTCAAAATTCGTGCTACATGGGAGTTTGGAGTCTCCTAATGTCTTTGAGCGATCTCCCAACAGAGAACACGTCGGACTCACTCCTTGGGCTTCTGATTGGTCGGTTCTTTACAAGAAGGGAGGAGCCCAATGGGGCGATGCTGCAGATCCGGAGTTCTTGAACTTCACCGTTGAACAGCGAGCAATGGAAGCTCTCCATTGATTCGACGTGCAAGTTTTCTTTTGAACAATCTGGTGTGTTGACACACCTTAGTCTCACCCATCACCCAGTGTCACACCTGCATTCTTTTGGTGCTGGCAAGTCTCCTCCCCCCAAAAAAGACGTCCGCTGACATCAGCGCCAGTGATGATTGAAAGCTGCTTCTGCCAGGCGGCCAGATGCTGCAGATGCCGGAAGCAACAATACAAGCCGTAGACCCAGATAGACCCATCTGGGCGAATCTTTGACATGTCTTCATGAGGGCAAATCTCAGATTCCAAAGCTGAAAAAGGGAGTGGTTGCAGATTGTGTCAGAAGGTCTTTGCCACACCACTTCGCCAGTTCAAAACGGAAAAGCACAACAGTATCTCACACACACTCTCACACTGTTTTACAATGTTTTACACATTGTTCAGGTATGTTGCAAGGACATTTGTATATATATACCAGCACCTTCAAAGGGGTCACCAATGGAAGCCCCTACACCACTAAGGGACCTCCATTGGACACCCCTTGACCACTCCAAGCTCGAACGAGGCGGCAAGGGCTCCCTCGCAGACCAGGCGCCGGGGTCCGGCGTCCGTCCGACCCGTCCGACCCGGCCCTTCTTCCGCCCGTCGGAACGGTCGACCCGGTGCAGAGACGCCAGGTGAAGCGAGGACAGCGCGAGTCCAAAGGCTTCAAGCAACGGTGGTTTGGGACGCCCAGAATCGGGAGAGGGGAGGGTCGGTCGGGTCGGAGGTTTTGGGAGGTTTTGGGCCGTCAAACTCGGACCGGGGTTCGGGGTTCGGGTCAAATCACTGGGTCTTCTGTGTACATTCCTTGTGCAGGACTCCAGGAGATGGTTGGATTATGTTGGATAGGTTGGTCATGGTTGGTTTTAGAATGTTTCAAATTGTTTTTAGAATCAACTGTTCTATTTAAGGGGACACCATTTATCCTTTTGAAGGCCGCAGCATCTCGAATTTCCGCATTTGCTGGCGCCGTCCCTGCCCAAACGGCTTGGCTCGTAACGCCGACTCGGTTGACCTTGGGTGGACAGGTGGGACTATTGCGACAAATATGGCAAGGGCTTCTATGATCCCCACCGCCATGAGCAACGGCTACTGGAGGAGAGGATGAGACATCCATTCGTGTCTCGCTTCGCGACGAGGATGCGAGGATGAGAGGATGAGAGGAAGAGGGGAAGGAGATGTTGTGAAAGTCTGGAGTCAACAACTGGAACAGATTTATGTAATTTATGTATGTTTCATTATTTTTCATGGGCTCCAAAAAAACACCTTAGGTACTGCGTAGGACATGGGGGGGCACAGAGCCGGTTGGAGCTATTTACATCGCCTCGAGGGGAACCAGGAGTCCTTTCTTTAAAGATTCGGCATGTTATGACAGTGTTTTTGTTCATGTTTCGATGGTGGTGTTGGGGTTCAGATGGAAACCCGCATAGATGCGCCATCCTGAATTCTGACCATGGTTCCTCTAGGTTCCTCTCCATCCTCGTGTTTTGTTCAACCACCAGATATGATCTTCGCAGGACTTCCTATCCTTGGAGAAGACACGTGCAGAGCGTGGAAGTCAAAGCTCTAGCCGGCCAGCCCCAGTCACTCTGTGGATGGATCTTCAAAAGGACGATCTTGCCAATGAAGAGGATGAAAACTGACAGATTGGCTGTGGCTCTTGGGTGAGCAAATCTTGATTTGTAGTATATCAATCATTCTCCAACCCGCTTCCGACGACGAGTCAGTGTCATGGTTTCAGGAAGGCGTGTGTAACAAGTTTGGCCTACAACCATATATTTTGGCAGTATCCTGAAACTCGCCCTCGCCCTGAGGTAGCAGTCGAAGTGGTCGGAGCAGCAGCACCAGCCGTGCCGGCCGTTTGAAGGGCGGCCTGTGCTTCCGGAAGACCCGCAACGACCGAAAACATAACTTTTGATGAGAGTAGGTGTTTCTCATATTTCCTCATGACTGCTGTGACAGACTGTCAGATGCACTAGCTAGAATTGAACTTCGCATGATACGCGAAGTCATGCATTGAAGTCATGGCTTCGTGATGCTGACGCAAGGGCAGTTTAGATCAGTTTAGAGATGTTTCTACCTAGCACCACTCTGCTGTTTCAATCGATTTCAGGGCTCGTGAGCCACACCTGAGCACGCTTTACCAAGCGTGATTCAAGCGTCACAACGTGTGTGACGGTGTTCCTTCCCTGTTCTTCATGTGTTTCTTTATGAACTTTTGTCGTTCTTCTTTCGCTTCTTGATTTCTGTAGCCGTTCTTTTATTTTTGTTATATATGTGTTTTGAAATTAGTATAACAAAATGCTAGTAATGCAAGTCATGCGCACAAGCACTTGCAGCATTTCAATCATAAGACACCCAAATGACGAGACGGCCGTCAACATAGATAGCGTTGTGTTTTGCATTTTTTCTAAATGCTTTGATTGTTGTATCTTTGTATGATTTATATGTTGTGTTTGGGGAGGCGTGCCTGAATTTGAAGACAGCCGCGGTGCTAGAAATGCTCTCGGGACAGGGTCGCAAAAGCAACACAATTTGTGCTATGCTGTGGTGGTGTTGGGAGTCGCTCTTGTGGTCCTGACACCTTTCCCTCCCCCTCACCAGCCAGTGGTCGGCTGTTCGATACCAGGAAGCCGGCGCAATCGCCGTCGGCACCGAAGAAGGCGGCACAGCCGAAGGAGAGACGATTCGAAGTGAAGCCCGGAAGTTCAAGTTGTTGTTGTGTTTTTTTTTCTGAAAGAGAAACACAATTTGAGGAAGAAAAGACTAATAGCCATGGCCTCCAACCTGCTAGCAATGGCCTCCAACCTACTAGCGATGGAGGATTTGCTTTTCCGGATTTTCCTTTTCGGGAGAGGGTTTTCATCTACAAATTTCTTAGGCGTTCAGCCTTACAGATCTTCCAAGGTTTTTCACTTTCCACTTCGTCCAGCGATGCTCCGCACCACAGGAGGCACCGCCGACGACGGAAGCGCCGGCGTTCGCGGAGCTCGCCCTCAGTGCGGAGGAAGAAGAAATCCTCAGGCACCGGGGTCGAGCACAGTGGCAGGGCACCTCAAGGGGGGCCGTGCCATGCAGGAATAGGCTTTGCGATTTGGAGGGTCAGATGCAGTTGGACAACTGGGTCAGATGTCAGTTGCATCATGGTGAAATCTACTGAGCCATTTCGACACTCGGGTTGAAAGAGGGCTTCTCTTCTCTGCGGGGTGCAGAGGTCTTGTGAAAGACACCCAGCTGGATGTAGACTCCCTGAAATCATGGAGATTTCGCTCAGTGAGTTCACATATCTTTGGTGCGAAATCGGTGCGGCGGATTGCCGCCATGAAAGCAATCCATCCACTTCGATTAATTCTCAGACAGCTGTAGACCCTTGGCTGTAGCCTAATCGCTCTGAAGATCTGAACCAAGCCAGGCTCGAACAGCGACTCAGACAGCGACTCTTGGCGAAGATGGGGAAGTGGCAAGAAAGGGCAGAACAAGCTTCTGTAGCATTCTGTAGCTTGATCTTATGCAGGTGGTGTATGGTGCTGTTTGTTCCATTTGGGCATGTGTCTTTCAAGTTTTCTATATTTGTTGTTTTTGTTTTGTCTTTTTGGTCGGTTGGAGACATGGCACATCGTGGGACTGTTTGGTCTTTTGTATTGGTAGTGATCCAACATCGCACGCGACGAGAGACCTGTCGTAACGCAGTGCCAACATGGGAAGATGACGAGTAGTTGAACTTGGTTGAAGGATGTTCAAGGGGTGCGAAGCGACGATTCCGTGACGAAGAAAAACAGATGTGTATAGAACAAAACGTGAAGATAAAGAGACCAGTGAATACCAGTAATGGATTTGGTCCAGAGTCACTTGCAAGTCGGCTTCGAAGTTTGTGACTTGCGGCAAGCCATGAACTCCGGATGTTTTGTTAAGTACTATATTATCATAAGTCGGCCCCGCAAGTTCACTCAGTTGCGATGAAACAACACGTTTTTGGAGATGCAACTTGCCAGGAGCGCAAGTCCAGCAAGAGCTCAGAGGATGACAAGGAGACCGTGGTGCTTTTTGTGTCCAAAGTGGCATAGAAGACATGGATGATGGCAGAGCACAGTGCGCACGCAGTTCTTTCTGACGGTGTGGATAGAACAGAGTCGCTCACCTACTGTTGATGGATAACATCCTGCACCGCCATAGAATTATTAAGTATGTGTGACAAACTTCGTCAACTTGGAAAACTTACAAGGGATCAAGGGATCCACTTATCGTGAGATCGGGTTTCCATGCGTACAAGCCACCAATGGTCGCTGCACAAGGACTCTCCCTTGGAGAAAGCAAAAGCGAAGGCCAAAGCAGCGGCAGATGGCTCAGCATCCACTCCCAGTGACCGGCCCGGACCTGGGATTTCGACGGACACTTCGACCAGATTCAGGCGAAAACCAGGGTGCACTTGACATGTTGAGCCACTTGACTTGAGGAAGAAGCTCTGGAGCAAGCTCAAAAGGCAGGACCGCTGACGCCTTTTCTTTTTCGGTGGAGCCATCGAAAGAGAGTCTTCGAGCTGAGTTGGTGATGCTTAGCTTGAGCTGAGAATGTTCACCAGCAGCCAACGGAAGAACTTCTTCGTTGCGAACCGTTTCTCCATCGCAAGAACACGCACAACACGGAATCCAGCCTTGCGAAGATATGTTTCGCCCCAGCTTTGCGAGGCATAGCTATCACACAAATCAAGAGTCCTCCTGGGTTCCCAAAGTGCTTGTGCTCGGGGCATCATACCGCAGTACCCTTCAGAGACCGAACCTTTGGCTCTTCTTGGCCCGAATTGGGTTCGAGGGTTGTGAGGTGGTGATCACTCTTTCTCTCTTGGTCGTGCCATGGTGTTTTCAACTCCTTCGTGGAAACGGTCGACGGGTGAGTCGCTGTCGCTTTAATGTAGACGTTTAGATGTTTTTCCCGAAAGCATTGCGAAGGGTTCTTCCGGAAAATCCTTTGAACACTGACACTTCGACACTCACACTTACACACACACACACACACTGGAAGAGCGAAAGCATCCAAGTGCGAAGTATGCCAGTGTCAAAGTATGCAAGTGTAAGTATGCAAGCATGATATGCAAGGGTGAGCATGCAAGCATGCAATGACTATGCAAGCATGCAATGAGTAGGCAAGTGTGAGTATGGAAAACTAGCACGGGAGATGTCCTAATGAAAAAACATTTCCCCACTTTATAAATTCTCTCTAAAAGGCGGAGTGCGGGACGAACAGCATCAACCGAAAGTGCAACCCTCTGCGGAGATCGTGCGTGTCGAGTGCGCGAAATGCAGGTGAGAGTGCGATTTGTCCGGTGTGCGCGCAACCCTCTGCGGAGATCGTGCGTGTCGAGTGCGCGAAATGCAGGCGAGAGTGCGATTCGCCGGGTGCCCGCGCAACCCTCTGCGGAGATCGTGCGTGTCGAGTGCGCGAAATGCAGGCGAGAGTGGGATGTGTCCGGTCCGCGCGCAGCCCTCTGCGGAGATCGTGCGTGTCGAGTGCGCGAAATGCAGGCGAGAGTGCGATTGGCGCGGTCCGCGCGCAAACATCCGCGGAGATCGTGCGCGCCGAGTGCGCGAAATGCAGGTGAGAGTGCGATTGGTGCGGTGCGTGCGCAATCTGCGGAGATCGTGCGCGTCGAGTGCGCGAAATGCAGGCACTGGCGACTTTCTAGTGCTACTTCAGTACGCGGAGCAATCTGTGGAGCTGGAAGCTGAGAACTGGCGACTTTTTAGTACAACTTGAGCACGCGGAGTCTCTGGGGAGCTGGAAGATGAGAACTGGCGACTTTGTAGTACAACTTTAGTACGCGGAGTAATCTGTGGAGCTGGAAGCTGAGAACTAACGACTTTGTAGTACAACTTTTAGTACGCGGAGTATCTGGGGAGCTGGAAGATGAGAACTGGTGACTTTGTAGTACAACTTTAGTACGCGGAGTATCTGGGGAGCTGGAAGATGAGAACTGGCGACTTTGTAGTACAACTTTAGTACGCGGAGTATCTGGGGAGCTGGAAGATGAGAACTGGCAAAGTTGTAGTATAACTTTAGTACGCGGAGCATATGGGGAGCTGGAAGATGAGAACTGGTGACTTTGTAGTACAACTGTAGTACGTGGAGCAGTCTGTGGAGCTGGAACCTGAGAACTGGCGACTTTGTAGTACAACTTTAGTATGCGGAGTATCTGGAGAGCTGGAAAATGAGAACTGGCGACTTTGCCGTACAACTTTAGTACGCGGAGTATCTGGGGAACTGGAAGATGAGAACTGGCGACTTTGTAGTACAACTTTAGTACGCGGAGTATCTGGGGAGCTGGAAGCTGAGAACTGGTGACTTTGCAGTGCAACTTTAGTACGCGGATGAGTCATCTCTCGCGGCTGCGTCATCTCTCGCAGCTGCTCTGGCGCCCCTGCAGCTGAGTCATGTCTCCCGACCACCCGGCTCTCTTAAAAGGTTGACACACACACACAGAGACCCACGCACTGCCTCAACTTACTCGGAGTCATAGACAGAGACTCATACACACACAGACATTGATACACACACACAGAGACCCACACACTGCCTCAACTCACTCGACTTAACACTTCACACTGAACACTTAACTCACACTCTGACTTCCTACGTGATGAAAAATGCTTTCGGGCCACTCGTCGTCTAGTTTGATATATGAATGGGGCCTCCCCCCAAAATTATGACTATACAATGATTGTATACAATGTGTTTGTTCTTTTTCAATCTTTTTCAATCAAGAGAGTACAATACTTGAAACAGCTCCGGCCCATGTCCAGAGGCCGTGAAAGATGCCATACTCGAAGAAGAGCAGCGGCAGAAGGCTCAGGCAGCTCAGCGGAAGAAGGTCATTGGAGTTTCGCAAAACCCTCCTGCTTTCCAAAGCTTTCGACTCCTCATTCCAAGATGTGGGTTTGCAAGATGTGGGTTTGTATTCAAGAGGGAGAATTTCCAACTAGAAAAACAATATATTATGGTTTTAGTTTGCTTTTGATTTTCTCAGACGGGTGTCCCTATTCTACACACCGTCTTTCCCTTTTGGACGGAGGTGAGAACCAGCTCCTGTCGGTCTCACGGGGAGGACTCCCTAACACCGATCCGCTGGTGCGACAGGCACAGGAAGAGGTGAAGGCTGTGCAAGCGGAGGTGCGAAGCCATGCGAAACCTTGGGACGTTTGCACTTGTGCGAAGCCTTGGGGTTTTCGGACATTGACCATGTTGGTGCAATTTTGCACGGGGTCAGTGGGTCTTGCAACCAGTTGAAAGCGCTGAGTGAAGCTTTTTCTCAGCTTGAACCTGGAGTTGTGTTGATACAGGATCACAAAGGGGTGTGAACAAGTTTTGGATGACTTACCCCTACTCACTCTTGAATCACGTGCCCAGAAATCTGGACATGGAGGCCATCGCTATTACGTTGGAGGCCATCGCTATTGGGTTTCCAAAGAGACAAAAGGACATCACATGCCACATGCCCAGAAATCTGGAGAATCCTCAAACTTCGCACCCTCCTCCGTTTCGCTTGCCGCCTTCGAACGGTCGCTCGCTCGCTCACCGCGGCCCGAACGTTCGAAGCAGGTGGATGAGGAGGTGGCCCAAAAGATGAAACAAGTGGAGGCCGGAAAAGTCCTACATGGGCCACTTGGTGAGGCGGTTTTACCATTGAAAAGTCCGTTTCATGGTAGTGGTGGATGATGACTTCCAGGTGAGGTAGTTCATGTTCGTCAAGTCATTGGAAGTTCCGGGGGAGTCACCGCCAGCGACGGCGCCGAAGCAGCGACGAAGGCGAACGGCTTCGTCGCAGCATGGCTCAACAGGTCGATGGTGTGTTTTGGGTCTCTCAGTTGCACGTATTCCCACCCGGGGAAACCCGAGTGCGAACCTCCGGGAGAGCCTGAAGTTGGGCTACAATGACCCCACCAGACACCTGGGCATGGAGGCTCCACATGTATTCAGTATACCTAGATCTTCCAACTGTGCAAAATGTGTGCCTTGTGGCTGGTTTTGTAGATCAACAGGCAGACATGTTGCACAGTTGGAGGATCTATAGGTATTACTTAGTATCAGCTTAACGAGAGAGCCTGAGCAAAAGGCCTGGCTGACGGGCCTTTTCCGGGGCCGTTTAGGCGGCGGGCCCCGGCGGTTTCCGGCCGACACCAGGAGAAGCTCCTGGCGGACAAGGCCTCCCGAATGAAGGAGGCGGAAGAACGCCTGGACAAGGCCGGCGCGACCGCCCCGACCGCTTGGGCTTTGGTTGGTGGTTGGTGGTTTGTCCAGAAACGCTGGGAAGTGAGCGGAAACAGACAGTGCGTGTGCATGCATGTGCATGCATGTACTGTATTGGCGGATATTTGGTGGTATCTAGCTACATCGGGGTAGTTGAAAAAGGGGTCTAGGGAAAGCCTTTGAAACAGATCTTCCAGTCCCGTGGAGTGTTTGGGTCATAAAACTCTCCTGCAGCTTCTGATATGTCGCCCCAGTTTTCCGGGCAGAACACTTGGAACGTCCACTTCGACCGAACAAGTGAAAAAGCTGCTTCTCGAAGCAGGTTCAGTACATCACCTGTCTCCATTTGATCTATCCACATAAGCCCCTCAAGCCTCTTGGACCCAGTTGGGTGAATAGGTCTAGTACTAGTAGGTCTTGGGGGGCCCAATGACTGGCTGGAAGACTAATGCAAAGGCCATCCAGTTTTTTGAAGAAACTCCTGGACCAACAAGTGTGTGTTGCTTTTTTACGCTTCAAGCAGCCATACGGTACTAGCCGGTAGCCTAAAGTGTGTGTTGTTATTAATAAAGAATCCATTTAAGATTCAGATATTTAAGATTAATGAAGTAAAAGCACAAAAGGTCAAACATGGTCAAATAAAAGGTGTGTTTCTATTTTGTAAAAGCATTTGGGTGCATGCCATCCTCCAATCCTTTGTTCGAACAAGCTTCTGCCTTCCACCAATAAAAAAAGTCGCCAATGACTGTTCAAAGCAATCGCAGCAGCTAAGTATACATCTTATAGATTTGACCAAGCATTGTTTGGAGGCATGGCAAACAACCATAAGAAACTCGTTATTGTCTCCTTAAATGGTAATCGTCATCAGCCACTCTCTGGCTTGTAATTCAATCCTTCGTATTCACATAACGGTTCTTTTGGGAGAGGCCATATTCACCAAGAAGACCAGGGTCCGAGAACCGTTTGCCAACGCTATTTGCTCTGCACGACCTACACGACCTACTCGGGCTTCGGGAGCCTGTCCATTGGTCTATGGCTTTTTGACATCTGATCACTTTGGATATTCTGCCTTGCTATATACACTAAGCCCAACCTTTTCACAGGGTTGGTACATCTCAACTACTAGTCCTACAATCGCACAGCAGCACCGATCTTGATTTGGGGAATTTGCAGACAAATGGACTGTCCGTCCGTTCAGCTGAGAACACTTGCTTCTCTTGTGACATCGGACGACGCGCCAATTCTTTTTTCAGGCGATTGCCCAACGGATCAAAGAGGCTTCGGATCCCAGAGAAATGCGATGTTCGGGTGAGTCGGGTGAGTGCGGGCGCCCTTGGTTCAATCAGCTGGCGCGGTGCATGGATTGCATGGCTTTGATGGTTCTCAGGCAAAGAGTAAAGCGCAGAAAGCAGCTGAAACGAAGCTGGAAGAGGCCAGGGAGCATTTGAACTTTGTTCACCGGGAACTCATCAGTCACATGTTGTATTTCCATATTTTTTCATAATGCGTATCCCCTGAATCTCTGGGATATGGAGACCTCCCCCAATGACCTGGCTGGCCAAGAACTCACTGGCCCCTTGGCCCATCGGTGCCCGGGCCGCCCGCGCCAGATGAAAACATCCTTCGGCACCTCGCGACTCTCTGGGGATCCCGATGTCGTCCGTGGACGAACCCTCCCCCGCGGCGGAACCGCCCGTTTTGGGGTGTTCTCATCCACCGCCGTTGGGTGCGTCACGGCCAGGGGCTACAACGGATCCGCGCCGATGCGGCGAAGGCAGGGACGTTAACATCCAATCCCTGTCAACGGTTCATGTTGATCCCGAAACCGGGCAAGGTGAGTGCTCGGCTCGTGCGCGTTTGATTCAGGTCTGGGTTTAGGCTAAACACCCCCGCATGTAGCGGGAACCTCACAAAAAAAGTGAACTGGGTGACTGCGGGCAGGATGTTCTTTTCATTTAGAGAAACACCAGTTGGCGGGACACTCGAAACGTCTCGTGACTCCCTCATGTCATTTTGCTGGGCCGAAGTCACATCTGTGGGGTAGAGAAACTCACATCATGTGTGGTTCATGCACATCTTTTGGCCTAAATCCGATGTATTATGGTGTTTTCCTCTCGGTATTGAGCTTTGCCGCCAACCATCCAAAACGGGAGGCCTTGCAGGATGCCAAGGCCAAGGCCAAGGCGGACCATGTGGGGAGCTCGGAGCGTATTTTACGGCGTCGTTTGGGTACATGGTGAGTCAAACATGCCCAATGAGAAGCCAGACATTGTGTGTATAACATATAAATATACACTGTATCGGAAGTGCTGGAAAAACACTCGGAAGGCACCAAGACCAGCGGAAAAGACATGTCAAAAATAGGGAGAAATTGATGGATCTTGTTTCTTTCTTGTGTCTCGGCAAGGCTGAGAAAGTTCAGCAAGTTGAGAAGCGTCTCTCAGATGCCAAGGCAGGCCACGCACTTCTAGATGACCCGAGTGCTGGAAATTCCTCTACTTCAAGTGGTGCCAAATATTTTCGATCTGCAAAGCTAAAGGGGGATGTGTTTCTGCCGATTTCTGCACGAAATGGGGGAAACTCTGGCAGGCTCGATTGGCTACCTTGAAGGGCAAGGTCGCGAGAAAAGGCGCTGCTTCCAGGGCCACTATGGAGTATAGAGAACGAAGAAAGGGGACTTTGATGTAATTATTCAATCAACACATGGAGCTGTAGCCAAGGGATTTAGTTGCCATCCAAATTTGGCTGGTCAGCAGAAGATGGAGTGTGATGAGTGTGAACCATGTAAAACCGCAGGTTTGACACCGCGTTTTTCGAGGCCACCTTGATCAGTCGCCCGCGGTCAGGCAGCGAATCTGATGCCTCCGATGCCAAAGAAAAAGGAGAGAAGAAAGGCAGCTGGTGTCCGCGCGTAGACCGGAAGGGCAAAGAGTCAAAGAGTTTGCCCTAGCGGCAATTCCAGCTCAGTAATATACAATATTATATAATATATAGTATATGTTTCTTTTTGGTTTCATCATTTTTTTCACCCTGCCATGACATTCGGACATGATTCGGACAGAACTTCCTGCCCAAAACAGGTACCCCACTCTGTTGGCCTCGCCCTCCCATCCCACCTTCCCACCTTCCTCCCGCCAGGCGACACCAGCGAGTCGGACTCATCGTCCGAGTAGCGCAGGGAGCAGAAACGGGGCGACCCCTTCGGACGGTCCTGGTGCAGCGAGGTCCCACGGGTGGCGCGGAGGGCGCGCACGGCGCGGTGCGCGGTGCGCGGTGCGTTGGAGGTTGCCAGGAACGGGACGGAGATCGACGATTTGGGGCTGGAACTGGACCAGTGATTCACTCTCGGTTCCTTTTCAGCCCATGGGGATTATGGATTGATTGAATGAGGGGGGCATCCAATTCGCTGCGCGTACCGGTCATTCCGACTGTTCTGCCTTTTTTCTGCTGTTTTCTTGGCCTTCAACCCTTTTGTTGACGCTGTGCATGCGTGATAAGTCCAAGTGTTTTTGAGCCTAAATCACAAAACTCACTGCCGAATCAAAACGAACCATGTAGCGGCAATGTGGCGTATGTAGCCAGGAACGGTAGGTGGACTATCCCCCGTTTGATAGAAGTCAATCATCTTGGTGAAGCTTGGGTTGCCAAGGCTGGCAAGTCCGTTGGACACAGTCTTTGACACCGCAGCTTTTTTTGATTTGTCTCAAGCTTTACGCATCTTCCTGAAAAAACATACAATGCAGTTCCCAAGCGATTGGCAATCTCATGTGCGCGAGAAACCACCACACTATTTTACCATTTTGCACTGAAATGTCCCCACATTCCACAGCTAGATCAGCAAACATCCTGCTATCATGCACTTCAAGCAAACTGCAGTACGTGCAAAGAGACAGATATTTGCGAGTTGCGGCATGCGCTTGCCTTGAGATGCCAGTGCGCAGATACAGCCGAGGCTTGCCTTTTCTCGAACAGCAACTATTCGACAAGTGTATAGCAGTCGGAGCAGTCGTGAAAGCACAACGGCAACATTTGCCTTTGTTGGAGGTCATCGCTTCTAATTAGGTTGGAGGCCATCGCTTCTAGGTTGGCGGCCATCGCTAGTAGGTTGGAGGCACTGACAGTTGCTGAAAGTGAGGTGTGGGAACGCTTGTTCTCCTGGCAGCTGGCGTCACTTGCTTCACACTGCCAAGGCAGTGCTGAAGCTGGCAAAGTAGACCGCAGACATCAGCAGATATCATCAGACATCTTCTGTTGAGTCTTGGTGACTGAACACATGAGCTGCCAGATGTTGACCCACACCAAGTCTCCAAAAGAACACGCTTCGATGCTTGTGAATTGATATAGTCAGGTCGATTGGACGAGGCTACGGCGTTGACGCTACAGCACCACTCGCCAGCGCCTCAAGAAGATCAGCTTCTAAAGATGCGGCCCTAATCGGAGAAGCGCGGCCCCCCGAAGTCAAGTGAATGGAACAGTTTTTTGGACTTTCACATTTGTTGTGAAGAATCTGGAAGATCAAACAAGCTCGGCTCAAAATGGCTCAACGTGTGTGCTTTAAGCTTAATGGAATCATGAGTTGGGCTCAATCATTAGGGCAAAGGTGGTCGTTGAAACCCCGAGGTGGAGACCTTCTCTCCGGATTCCTCTGCGAAGTGGTCCTTTTCGGCTGGATCTCAGGGACCAACGCTGCTTAGGAGCGGCCGCTGTGTGTGTCACATGTTATCACATGACATAAAAGAAGTGAAGCGATCCAACCAGTGGTGAATGTTGCAAGCAGTTTCTGAGTGGACTCTATATGTTTTTAATGGCTTTTGAATTTGAGTTGGGTTTCTCCTTGAACGTTTCAGTGCACAACCTCATTCAACCCGTTTCAGTGTGAATCCCGTTTCCGCCGTAGTCGCCAGTCTCTCCTTCGGTGAAAGGAGCTGGGCTGTTCCAGTGGGACTGGCTCTGGCGGCCACTTCCGGGAGGGGCGCTGCTCGCCCTCCACTCAGATCTTGACGAAATGAGATGAAGGTTTTGTGGGTCAGCTGGAGCTGGAAAGCGAGTCCAACAAGACGTTACCCTATAGTATAATATTGTATAGACTGATGGATGCTTTCAACCCCTCCCCATGGATCGCAAGACATTTTAACGGGGGTAAGGAATTTTCCACATTGGTTCTACAATAGATCCAGGTACCAGTACCGGGTGTCACAAAGGGTGGTTTTTAGTCCCATCCAGTGAGTGGATGTGACAGGGGCACCCCTATCCTCCAAGTTCGGCACCCCTATCCCCAAAGGCTGGTATATAAACCTAAAAGTCATATCAAATGCAAAACCGAATCCATCCATCGGACTTTCTGGGATCAGACCAAGTCTTCGGTGATTGGACCTGGACTCACTGGGATGTTCTTTTAACCGATCTAACCAGATCCATGACTGGCGACTCCTGGCAGGTGATGAACACATGATTCACGTTTTACAGTAGTATGGACATCAGATACACTATTCTGATATCATGTGTCGTTGTGCTTTTTGCTTGGTCGCCTGACGATATCCCTTTAACATTCTTCCAGTCATTCTTCCATATTGACCGCCCATACCCTCTATACCCTCTACCCTCCAAACAAGCACCGCATTCTTTCTTCGTGCTCCGCATAGACGCACCCGACTACTCTACGCAGAAGTCGGGACGTTGGCCCATCTTCCTCCAACTCCTCCAACTCCATCTCCTTGGGTTCCCAATCACCTCGCCTTCGCCTTCGTTATCGCCGCAGGTCGGAGAAGCGGCCGAGTGGGCGTGTCTCGAGTGTGTCGTGGGGCGACTCCGTACCCGGGTCCATGGCCGAGCTATGTTTCAATTGGTAACGTCAAGAAGGAGAAATTGCTCAAAGATGGCAGAGAAATCTGAAGATCTGGAGATATTTGGTGATGCTTTCATAATTATATTCCATGATGTCTTGCTATGCTGTAAGTTCTAGTTCTTTGGATGGTGGCAAGGGCCGGAAAACCTCATGAAAACCCCATTCCATTCAATGGAATGGGTGACTTCCCGAGTCAAACCATACAGACTCTGGCTTGTTGCTTGGAACGCTGAGATGGCGTCTACAATGCCGATTCAGCAGCTAGCTATTTTCAGGCGCGTGAGGCTGGCCTGTTTCAAGGCGCTCCTGGCTTCAGCGAGCGGCCGGAGATGAGACGGTCACGGCCAGCAGCGCCCAAGAGTGGCAGAGGGCCGGTATGGTTCGTCGGCCATGGCGAATTGCATGCGAAGTCATAGAGGTGTGATGAGGTTTTGACCAATTGATAAAGGCTCCGTTCATGTACTCCTGATGTCCCATCGCTTTCTTCATCTTCAGTCATGTTCTTCCAATGTTCATCTTCTTCCGCAGTAACAAGTGCATCGCTACGGATGGGGCAAGGATGCAGACCTGTTTTTGTTTCTTCGTTCCACTCCTTCCGCCAGGGCCGTGGATGGTGACCTTCCGAGCGACCGAGTTGATGAGCACCACCGTGGGCTTCGCTGTCGGGAGCGACGTTGACCGGCGGGTGGGTGGGTTTACGGCACGAGAGACTGGGAGACTAGAGGGAGAGTAACCAGAACGGCGATGGTTTCGTGATGCTTTCGTGATGTGCAGTATGTGTGCTTGATGGGGGTTTGATGGGCTTTTGTACTGGTTTGTTTGGAAGATGTTGGAAGGCAGAACTGATGGGTTTCCCGGAAGAAGACCACGTTGTTCTTTTCAGATGAATTGAGTCAACTGCGAGACGATGACCTCAGGTCCGACTTTTGCTGGATTTACAAACAGGAAGCTGGGAGGCAGGGCTGCCTTGGATTTGTATTTTCAGGTGTGTCCTCGGATCACTCACCCCTAAACCGTAGTAGTAATTACATGATGACAATGACAAAATGATCTGAATTTACATTTAATATCAGTTGGTAGTATGACATCTAGCAGTTGTAATACAATTGAACAACCATAATGATAAATGATAATGATTATAACAATAATAAAGTATACGCAATGACAATCATCAAATATCACAAATAATGATCCTACTCAGTATACTCTACGATACTCACAATGAGCGGCGGATTGAGTTCCACCGGTCCAATCGCCATGTCCACTCACCGCCGGTGTTTCAGGCCAATTCCCGGGCCCGTGCACAAGAGCTCGTGCAGATTCTGACGGATCTTGGTCCAACCTTCATCAAGATTGGGCAGGCAAGGGAAGCTCCAAGCCAACATCATGTTTTCAGGCCAATAGCAGGGACTCAGTTGATGCACTGTCTACAGATCGGCGCAGGCGCTGTCCATCCGTGCCGACCTGCTGTCTCCTGCTTACCTGGAAGCTTTGACCGAGCTTCAGGCAACAAAAGGGGATGAAGCCCGCAGAGTTGTGGGAAGTGAGAACCTTTTTCCGTCACCCCTCCAAACGGACGGCTGGGCTGGAGGAGTTTTGCAAGCTGCAACAGTAGGACAAGCTCATGATCATGGCATGATCTGGCACTGCGCAAAGGATGATCCACAGCGAGCCAGATTTGCTTTTCCAGTAACCCCCATTTGATTGCACAAAAAATATATGATGCACTCCACACCATTCTCCATTTACATCCATTTACTAATCTTTGCCCATGGAGTTGCAATTTTCTCCTGCACTCACCAGTGTCCATCCAAGAATGCGTCCACCTTCTCTTGGCTCGCTGCTTCAAGCCCACCAGGATCGGGTGCCGCCCTTCCCCACGGACAAAGCGGATGAGATCATCGAATCCGAGCTGGGACGGCTCGGGGCCCCCCGCCGGGCGACGTCCAGAGGGACTGCGCAGCCGACCGTTGCTCTCTTTTGGATGGGTTCCCGACAAACCGGAAGAAGCGAAATCACGCCTTTCTGACACATGCCCTGTTGTTTCTTTTAGTTGCAAGGTGAGGTGCATGGTGCCCATGTTTGAGTGTACGCATTGGCTAGATCCAGACCACTTTCAACAAATGCAGGAAGCAGCCCACACTGCTTAATTGATATGCTGGTTGAATTGCGTAATCAAAATATGGCATGATGATTGTGGAACTAGAAATGCACGTATTGCTAATCACACCTAGAAGCATCATCAGCATAGAATTTAGGAGTTTGCCTGGATGGTAGAGATCACAAGTACAGATGAATGAGACTGTCGGATGGCACTGAACATAACCCAATTGGTTAGAGGGCATGAATCGTTATAGACAAATAGAAGCAAAGACATTCACTTATATAAACGGTTTCGAGGCAGCAACAAAGGACCCCCTGGTCCACTGGAAAGACAGGAAACACATTTGCTCCTTGCTGGGATATTGGGTCCCATCCAATCCAGCCGTTGCAATATGTGCTTTGTTCCATACCGACAGAACTTGGTTTTCAACAAAGCAGCACAACCTGGTTTGCTATACGGGGACTAGGAACTCTTAAAATCTTGGGTTCCCCAAAGACACATGGGCAACACGAAGACGAAATTAGCGGCCAAATGCGGAACCCAAAGTCCAACATGTGGGTCTTGCTTCTACTTGAACCATCTTGGTGAGAGTTTTGCTTCGAGAGATTCAGTCAGCTCGAGCAGAATCAATGGATCAACGGACGTGTTGAAATTTTCAGGAATTTTCCCATCAATGCTTACGGTGAGTTAAACCGACGGTGCCTACGAACGGTTTTGCCCCATGCTTGCTGTGCTGGTTGTTCACCACCACCACCACCACCACCACCACCACTGGAGGCCGGTGGGTGAGATCTTCGAGGAGATTTCACCAGCACCGATTGCATCGGCTTCCTTGGGACAGGTGGGAGGAGGGGACAGAGGACCAGATTTCTCAACAACCGGGATCCGGAAGTGGATTTTTGGGAGTACTGCAAGTGGAGCTTCGAACAGATGAAAGATAGTATGGGCTAAACCAAACGGTTAATCTGAAAATGATGGGCGTCTTCTAAGACAAACCCACAGATTCTGAGGACATGTCTTTCTGTAGTCCTGTTGGGAAAGGCCTGGTGCCCCTCGAGTCTCTGAGACAGAAGTGTTTAGGGGTTTAGGACTGCTGTTCTGGGTGTGGGATGGTGTGGGTGGCCGCAGGTTGCAACCACTGGATGTGGAGGTTCTGTCCAAGAATGGCCTAATTAGTCTAGGTCTTGCCCATGTCAAGCCAGGTCTCCATCAGTTTCTTTTGCAGATGTTTCCAAATGAAAATCAGAAGGCTCCAGCCACGCATCCATGTTCCATCTGCTCAGACAACTCCATCCGTCGAATGGGGTAGCTCCTGGCCAACACCCGCCAGGTCTATCGTGCCAAACTGCGTGAAGGTCCTGAAGTTGCTGTGAAGGTTCAGCAAAGCACTGAGACACTGTATCGACCTTGTGGAGTTCATGTGAGCCTATGAGTTTGTGAGAGCTCCTGTACATCATTGGGTGCTCAGCTGCTTTTACATCGGTTGAGCCAACTTCACAAGAATTTTTTGGGAGGAGTAGAGTTAACACATGTCACCTTGGCATGTCTTGGTGAGGCTGCACTCGAGCGGTGCGGATGGAGGGTTGTTCCAGTAAGATTTGGCTCCATGCTGCGCGAGGACCATAGACCAATGCTCAAGGAGAGTACAGTATTTTAGCCAGGCATGCGTTGCAAGTAGGGAAGAATTGGGAAGAATCGTAGATCCGACCAGCTGCTTGATGTCAAGTCTTCAAGATGCATCACCTCACAGCAGTCTCTGAACGAAACAGCAAGATTTCAGTTTGCAAAGCAGCGTGAAGATCGAATGGACCCAGAGCACATGGACCCCGCAGCCGCGGCGGACAGCAAGGGATCTTCGAAGAAGGTGATGACTTTTGGTATAGCCTTGTTGCTTGGCAGTTTTTTTGAAAGTTGGGACGACTGGACATTCCGGAATGAATGTGGATATAATCAAGATGAGGATGAACATGCTGTAGCTTGCTGTGTTATATCATATCAAAGTTCCATGTTTGGAAGCAAGGATGATACAGATCAGACGGTCGTAGTTGATCATGCAATCTCATGTTTTGCAAGCACGATGGCAAAGCCTTAAGCCCACAGATTGGTGTGTGAACGTGAAGATCAATCAAGGGTTTCAACTCCCCTGAAGATCCTGAAGGGCATGCAACAATTGGAATCTGAACCAGACTGTTGCCAGGATACCAGTTGCCTATGTTTCTTCTGTACGACCTTAAAGCTGGTGAAAGGAACGACCCAGATGTCACATCATGCTGTGGTGAGGTTCTTGCTGGTAGCTTCTATCACCTTTGTTTGCTGCCAGCGCACGTCCAACGCGGCTTAGCTGCTGATAGTGCGCAAAGGCTCGAATGTCTACTGCTTTATTGTATGGTTGTATGTCATCTTCAAGAAAACCGTCGTGATTTCCCCACCTGGATTTGTCCATCATGTATGACCTGCCTGCAGTGCAATCGGCCCGGCATTCTGATATCACATGAGGGATCATGAGGGCTTTTGCTTGTGTGATGTGAAGCAGCCCCAAAAATGGACACATCAACACCCCAACAAATGTAAGTATTCTACTTTGGGGCTCATGTCACACAAGTGCGGCTTCCACCAGCCCCAGTAGGAAGCACATGGACGTCTACACAAAAAGAACAATCCATGAGGTCAACTCTACATGCTCTCGCTGGAGTTTTCCATCCAGAAGAGCCTTCAGCTTGTGGCCAGCGCAGGCACCAATTTCTTTTTGACGAAAGTCTAAGAGGCACACGCTCCTACAATGATCAGTGATCAGGACCTATTGCATGCAAAAGGGCCTTGCCACCCATGTGTACTGTTTCTTTTATGTTTGAAACAGTGTTGATATGACACATGCAGGGATTACAAACTCTATATATACACGTGAAGAACTTCCCACTTGACAACACGCCAAGCCACGTCTTGGTCAATCGGAGATCGGATTGTGATCGTGTTAGAAAGCCCAACCAGATCCAGATTCTTGGGAATTAATAGGAGAAGTTCTCTTCTTTGGTGCACGTCCTTGACGTCAATTGATGAGTCCCTGCGCAGGTGCCTATGCTTCAAGTTGAGAAGCTGCCGTTTACACCGTCGCAGCACAAGAGGGTGAAGAACTTCTTGGGCGGTCTTAGTAAGACCTTTGGTTCCCATCTCAGCAAAGAAACCTTGGTGCGTAGCACTATGTCCATCGTCGATGAGAAATACCTCAAGGAGTATGTCGACAATATGCAATTGCCAGAAGCTCCAGATGAACATCTGAATGTCGAGCTAAAAGAGACGTTGCTGAAGATTCTGCGCTCCAATCCGGATTCAAACGTGGTGCATGAAATGAAGTTCAAGGATGGTTCCATGGACATAGTGGAGAGGGTGATGCTACGGCATTGGCGAACTCAAAGTAACCAGCTGGCAATTGCCATGGCCTATTCTTCGGACAAAAGGACAGGAAGCAACAATCGGGTCGATGCCAAGAGTGCTGAAGACTTGTCGCAGTGGCTTGGAAACAAGCTGTACAGTGAGATAATGCAAAAATCCGGTGTCAAAGAGCTTTCAGATCCCGAGCTTTGAAATTGTGCGGAGCAGATTGTAAGTTCTGTCAGGACTGTCGGTGGACCATCTCAGGGAAGCACAAATTGAAACACCTATACATAGATATACGTAGCATATGCCAGAAGACAAGCAATTGATTGAGTTGTGCCGTTGTTGACTTGTGTTTGTGTGGGTCAGAATTAGGATGAGATATGCTGTGCTCCTTCACGGTCCCCCAAGAATGCTTCTATTCCAATTGTACAGCGCACTCGATGAACGGCGGCACAGCAACAACGGTTGGTGCCCCTCAGTGCAGTGAGGCTGTCTTTTTTCCGTAGTTACTAGCAGAACTGAAGAGAGCACGGCTGGTTTGCAGCTGGTGCCTCTTAACATCGTTCTTTGTTTGCTGCAGACTCTTGCTAAAACGTGGCGACTAAATGAACTCTGGGTGTACTATGTATGCTATTGTCGCTGTCGCTTTTCTTTGTCTTGCAAGATTTTTGTTCGGATAATGCAGTGATATTTACGAGGTCGATCTACAAGCACTAAAGCGTACAATTTGATGGCGTTTTTGGTCTCAGATCTATGGCTCTAGGGAGACTCTTCCGCCTACACTTTGTTGCCCAGCGTCCTGAGATGCACAGCATGGCTGGTGGTTCGTCTTCTTTTTGTCAGCTGCTCGGCATTTCATTCAAACGGTTGGCACCTGATTAGTGAATGTTGTACTATTGCCAGATGCGGGACCGCTCGTCGTATCATTTTTGAACACTAGGTGCTGAGCCAGCCGTCTGGCAGCCAGTTGGTTTTAGTCAATTTTAGTGGTTGATTAGGAACTGGACAAGGCGCCTGTGTTTTGTCACAGCTCCTGAGATGCTTTGTGGCTGCAGGCTGTTCTTTTTGACATGTTTGCTCCTCCTGCGCAAAGTGAATGCCGGCCAAGAGGCCTTCGGAGGAGATGGACTCTGCTTTCCATCATGTGCTTGCTATGATGGCATTTGCGAGTTTTAGTTTCTGATTTGAACATTCGGAAGTCCATGTCACACACACACACACACACCAGGTCGACACCATCAAGAAGACTATGAAGACTGCGGATGGACTTCTCCTTGAACTTGTGAGTGATGAAGCGTTAGCTGCGACCAAGGAAACTCATAATCGGGTGGAGGAGTGGCTCAACAAGAACTGGGGGCGTCCTGGGGAGGACAGGTCAGAGGCAAAGAAAGATATATCCACGCGCACCATCATGTCAGTGGTGAACCCTTCAAAGATTCACGAGTTCGCAAACAACTTAGAGCTGGGCGAGGCGGTGCACAAAGACACGAAGCTTGCGCTCAAAAAAGCTATTCAAAATGTGTTGCTCACCGAGCTTCATTCAGATGCTTTGGTCAACATTAAGATGGACAGTGCTCCTGGCGGGACGCGCTATCTTGAAAAGTTTGCGCTGAGATCAAAGAAACTAGACGAAGGAAACATTGCAATTGTTCTCTCATACTACTCCGATGTGCGAACCTTGGATTCAAACTGGATGTGGCTTGTGGCAAACCATAAAAGTGAGGATCTACAACAATGGCTTGACTACAAACTCCATGTAGCAGTTGAGAAGAAAGCCTTGTCTCTTTCAAACTCCAATGACTACCAGCGCTTGGCGCCTCCCTCGAGCAAAGTTCAACTTGAGCATGATCTACATGTTGCAGCAGAAGGAGGCGATGAGGCTGAACTTCAAAAGGCTGTGGACATGGCACGAGCCCAAGGACTTGAACCAGCCAAGCTAGAACCGTACCAGAAAAAGCTGGAGACCTTGGAGCTACAGCGGAAAAAGCGGTCTGAACTCCTGGCGTCTTTGCAGAAGGCAGCTGAAGAAGGAGAGGTTCAGGGCTTTGTGGAGCTGCTTGAAAAGGCAAAGGCTCATGGATTTGACTCGGAAGAGTTGAAGAAAGTCCATTCCACCTTTGAGAAAAACCGGCTGGTGAAGGAGAAGGCAAAGGTGCGGGCAAAGCTGCAAGAAGCAGCAGAAGCAGTTGACCGGGGTCGGTTTGAAGAAGCATGCGCACAAGCCAAAGCTTTTGATTTGGATGATGTAGAGGTGGAGTCTGCTCGCAATAAGTTTGAGAAAAACGCATTGCAGAAGAACAAGTTAGAAGCCCTTAAACTATTGGATGAATCGGCCAGATCAGGGGACTCGACTACTTTCGAGCACGCAAGAGAGGCAGCAAAAAGTGCAGGCATTGGTGAGGAGCAGCTCGCAGAGTGGGATGAGGTCTTTAAGCAAGAGAAAGAGAAGACACATGCGATGTCTCAGGCATGGAAGGCCGTACAGAAAGCTGCGCAAGATGGAGACATCGATTTTGAGGAGCTCAAAGAGAAAGCTCATCGTCTTGGCGTGAACCCAGAAAAACTGGAGTGTGAGAATTCGCGCCACAAGGAAGCCGTGAAGTCCAATGAAAGGTCTGAAATCCGGAAAACTCTCAAGAGGGCGGCTGAAAGAGGACACTTTGAAGATTTTGAACAGGCGAGAGAGCAAGCAGTACAGGCTGGAATGACCGCGAAGGAGCTTGATGGTTTCCAAGCGATGTACGAACAAAAGAACCCACCCTTGAAACTGGTGCGATGGGTGCAGATTTTGGAGTACTTCAACCCCATTTTGCCTGCAATCATCCTGACGGTCTCCATCGCTTGGCAATGCTGGCCCGTTCCAACATCTGTTGACCCAGCAAAGAGAGCAACTCCATCGCTGACAGCGGCAGCTCACACAGAGGATGATGTGAGCCCTGATGACTCTGCCTCGCAGTTGTCTTCCCAAATTTCGCTGGCATCCTGGAGCCTTGTTCTTGTTTATATCTCTTTCCTTGGTTTGTTTGCACTCCCTTTTTTTTGATCCAAATTGCAATCTTTAATGCACTCGTAAACATCCTCTTGCAGCTGAGGAGCCTGATCTCTGGGCCGGGAAAAGAAGAACCCCGGTGCTATTCGGAGGCTGCTGTGTTCCAGCGCTTTGCTTGCAATGGCCGACTTGATGCAGTGCCTGCAGCAGAGATTCGTTTGGGCGATGTTGTTGCAGCCTACGGCGGTGAACGTGCCGAGGTTTGGGGTTTTCGAAACAATGGCCTCAACAGAAAGTGACCGTCACGGTAAGGCAAGCGATTGAAACTGGTCTGTTTGTAGATTCTGCATGATTCTACAAGGATGTGCTGAAGTGCAAAAAGTTATATACAAACTCGGAAGACTGTCATCGTCATCATGTTGACCTTGAGGTCATGGAGTATGGACAGTCCTGGTCTTCCACCATGGCGAAGCTAGTGGCAGGCCAGGCGATTCTCGAGGTGACGCCAACTCACCGCATCTCAGTGCCTCATGCCTTGTCAGGGTCCTCTGGCGCAGCCCCCGTGACCTACCTTGCCGGCCAGCCAGGTGGCTCGAGTCCAACCGATACCAAGCAGGCTAGAGAACTCACCATAGGGGACTTCGTGTGCTGCGAAGATGGTGTGAACCAGCTAACACATGTGGAGGAGTATGAGCTGGAAACACCAGTTCCGGTCTTCAACATTCGATTCAAGCCGGATGTGCCTGTGTTGGTCTTCTCTCCGCCGCCGAACCGCATCCTGTCCAGAGGCACGCTGTGTTTTTATGTGTTTTTGTTTAAACAAATATGACGGAATGAGGATGTTTCATGATAGCTTCATGTTGTGCTGAGTGCTTGCTTCTCGTGTGTTTTTCTTGGTGCTTCTTCGAGCTCACTGGACCAGAATGCAGGCCCACGGTATCAGCCCACTCGGCGTGGAGGCAAAGGATACCAGAAGAAGAAAGAGAACCGCATGATGCGTGAGTGTGAGAAGCGGAGCATTCCTGACACTCAAGGTGAATACTCCGACTGATTTGTGTAGTCCAGAGAAGCGGCCTAAGACTTTCTATGCAGCTATGATGCAGATATGATATTGCGTGTGAGCATGCATTGATGTCATTTCTGATTGACAGACATGGCTGCAGAACATGGTTGAGCCGTGATCTCTTTTTCCGGGTTCCAAGTGAAGAGAGCACAACTGACAAGCTGGTGCCTTCTCTCTTGGCTTGCAAAGCAGTGCTTCAAATGTTTTTATCATGGACTGCCTTAGAATTTGTGCAGCCACGTGCAGCCGTTGTTGTTCTTTTAATAAGAGTGATAGTAAACGTCCATCCAATTTTACCAGCAAGGCAGTCTTATACGATAGTATCGTTTTTGCAGGCAATTTTCCCATGCTGGAAGAGCACAGGGCAGCTTGACAAGAAAGGCTGCATTTGGTGCCTTTAATCAGCAAGGCTCCCGGCTTTTGGTGAAAAGGGTGCATTTGTCTTGGCAGCAGCGGGAAGAGTAACGACAACGCATTCCGTGTAGCAAAACAAGCATCAACCCACGCACGATCCCCACAGACCGTTGGAAGCCGGTGATTTTCACCTTGCCAAGGCGTCCTGGGATGGAAGAAGTGGTGGCTTTGGCTTGGTGCCCCAGAAGTGTCCAACTCTGTTCATGAAAGAACATTCCCATAGACCTCCTGGCAAAGAACGCATCACAGCCGGGTGGGACTAGGGGTTGTAAGATGCTGTACAGGTTCTTTTGGTTGAGACATGTTGGGACGAGGGTGGATTGCGCAATGCCAAGCGCTTTCATTTGAAGGCTGCGGAAACTTGCTGCTTCAAAAAGAAGAAGCACAGCGGACACCCTACCGATGTCCGCTGATCTGCCCATGTCCACCGCAGTGGCCGCAGGATCTCTTTTTGCTGAAGCTGGGCGCCGGTCCCTTGAGGTCCTTTGGGGTTGGTCGGACGGTGTGTGGCGGGTGGAGGCGTGGTCCGTCGTCCGCGTGGCCCGTCGTCCGAAGTCCGATGCAATCAAAAGATGGGGTCAATCAACGTCAATCCCCTGGTCATTTCAGTGTATCTTGATCACATCATGCAGGATTTCACGTCAATCCATGGATCTTCCATCCTGGTCAATCAATGTGAATCATAATAATGTATAATAATGTATGTTGTTCTTTATGACATGACACGACAGTTAGTTCTCATCGATGCCTGAAGGGAAGCAGAAGACATTGCATTCAAAATCTCCAGTCTGAAAGGTTCATCTGACTCGAAGTGATGCAGGACCGAGGTTCATCGATGGCCCTTCTAGGCTTCATCGATGGCTGAAACTAGAACTGTAGTTTTATCGGCCATGCATTTGATAAGTTTCTGATGTTTTTGTGATCTGAAGTGATCATCAGCCATGGCCGACCCCTTCACCAGAGATCCTCTCTCCACGTGACGATTTCGCACACGAAGAGGCGATTTCACCTTTGAAACCATCCACGACACCAGGCCACCAATCCACCAATCACAGACCTTTCCTTCTGGTGCGCTGAGGTGTTTTTTTCCTACAGAATTGCAACTTCCGGACTGCTCACCTGTTGTTTGGATTAGCTTGTGCCTGCCAGGGCCTTCTTGAACCTCACCAGGGCTGGGCTGAACACCGATATTCCTGGATTGCCACGTGCTCAGTGGGGGAGGGGTTTGCAACATGCCATGGCCCAAGATCGATTTGACCAAAGCCCCTGCAGGTGGGGTGTTGGTCTGATCAATGTACCATAATTATGTACCTGATGTCTCCTAATATAGTTGCAAACCAAATGAATAGCAAACTCTTCAAACTTCATCACTGAGAAAAGATCTGGTAGACGATGGCGCCTTTCAGAGTGTTCACCAGCCAAGTGGCGCGTTTTTCTGCCTTCACGACGGTCGGTTAGGGGCACCTCTCAGAGTCGATGGGGCGGCTGTTGGGAGGATGTTTCTCGTCCCCAGGCCAAAAGTGACACACCAGACGTGGAGAGCCAGTAGGGCTCCGGTGTTCATCGACCAAACATCCACGACATATATGGTTATATAATGTTATATACTATATATAGTGCACGCAGGCCCCCAACAGACCTCCGCAGCTCATGAGCTCGGCGAAGCATGACATCTCGCAGGGTTGATGAGTGGGGCAAAGGCTTCGTCGGAGAGCTGGACTATCGACAAGAGGCGACGGGGGGGAACGCATGAGCGCAGGACATTGGGGCGTTTGATTCATTGATGGCTCAAATGAAAGGCACATATGTTGTAATCATATTTGGTGACCACGGGCCACATAAAGACTAGCAGCAACTAGCAGACGAGCATCAAACCTGATGGAACCTCAGCCAAATCGTCAAGTTGCCATCTTGACTCGCACAAGCTCCAAAGTGGAGCTGTAATTACTTGGGGATGGGTCGAACCTAGAGCCCTAGTCCACCATGTAGCTTGACCTCCCAGCTAGGTCTTTCAGGATCAAGGTATCCTGGTTGGGTTCCCCACATCCCCCGCCGCACCCCCCCGAAACGCACCGGCACCGGCGGCAGGCAGCGAACGCCGTGTCCTTCTCTCAGGACATCACGCATACTCCTTTGGGCGGAGCGGTCTTTGCGCCGGAACCGGTGGATTCCTGTTCAAGTCAGAAGGTGCCGGAGGGGATTGGTTGAGACCACGGAACCATGGGTGGACTACGCACGGAGTCAAGTGCATGCAGGTGAGGGAGGGCGAGGGAAGAGAAAGAGGTGGACTGAGAAGAGGAACAGTTCATTAGAGGGTCCTGGCCATGTGTGTTGCTCAGATTGGAGGGGATATGATACAAGTCCTGAGGTTGGTCCGTGCACTTGCACAGGTTTTTGCAAAAAGCCTTCGAGCAAAAGGGGTGCTTACAGTCCTTAACATGTATTCGGGAATTCGTAAAGAGACTTGTAGTAGAATGACATTCTAGCATGGATTCATGGATATTGTATTATATATATATACAGTTATACACATATACACATATAATGTTAGAGTAGTAATTAGCAACATTATGAAGCAGAATATGTTTCCTTTTTCATGTTTGATTTTTGCCAGCCAGGTGCTCACCACCGAGTGGATCGTTGGAGAGCGTCTTGAAACCAGTAGTGCTGAGGCCGGGGTTGGGTGATCCAGGGTGGGTGCTTGCTGCTGGTGCTGCTGGTTTACGGCAGTTCCAAGCAGTGTGTATGACTGACTGGCTTTGTTGGGAAATGTTAGGTTCATTCATGGGAACACCGGGGATGGGAACAAAAAGGGGGTCCAAACTGGTGCTTTGAGGTATTTGTCGTACATCGCTCATGTGTTGGGTTCAAGAATGTCAATGGTCTTCTCTCATTCCACATGCTTTGCGTGTGTTTTCTTTTTCTGCTTGTTCCATTGGGAGCGCTCTAATCCATATGTTATGTGCCCAGGACATCAGGACATCCGGAGAACATCGACCCAAGTTGTTGTGGTCTTCCTTAGCCCACTGAACCGGATCGAATTATTTATCAATGGTCCATGATGGTCCATGATGGTCCGCGATTCTCCCCCACAAATTACACGCGTTCACCGTGTCACCGAGCAATGTTCCACGAGCAGAACTCGAGCAGAACATTAATTCTTTAGAAAAGAAGAGGCTTTTTCAATCTTTTTCAACTGCCTTTACTTTACTAGATTCACTCGAGCTCTCTGTCAGGGATCATAAGGGCAGTCTGGAAAAGTCTTTTAGATTTCCTGGCAGATTTGGGCGATTTGGGGCAGGATGTGACGAAGCTTTGTTCGGTGGCCATGAACTCCTACCTCACGATGATGCTGGAAACTGGAGTGCTTCATGCGGACCGGAGCCCATCCCCACCGGGGCGGAACCGCGAGACACGGAGACTCTCGAGACTCTACTTTTTGATCCTTTTGGTTTAAAGACATGGACAGAAAGCGAAAGCACATCACGCTTGTTTGGATTGATTTCTAGAATTTTCTGGAGAAGTTCAAAGTTCGGGACTTTGAGAGAGCCACATGTTGCCAATGTGACGCGTTTTTGTTATTGTGTGTGTTTTATATTTTTATGTTTAATAGTAGGCCACCTGTCAAAAGGGTTCCAAACATTTCAAGAATGAACAAAAAAAGGTTCTGCTCCCATCCAAACTCTATGCCCTTTTTTGCTTTTTCCTTCTCCATCTCAACGGGGATTGGATCGCACCTCGCAGGATCCACATCCGGGGAACTTGCTGCGTACCCCCGACGGGAGGCGCCTTCAACTTTCGGCGTTTGGGGCGTTGCATCAGATGGTTGGGTCCCTGCTGGTTCAATCAACGGTGACAGGTCGTGATGTTGGATCGGTGGAGCATCGGATCGATCTGCCGAATCGATGGACTTGACGCGACGAAGCACGCGTTTGCGTGCGGCCGACGGAGCCGAGCGACTAAACGACGAAGCACGAGGCATGGGGACTGTGGAGCCAAGATCTCACGAATGAACATGGTGTTCTCCAGCTTGATTCAACTGTGACCTTTTCACGGTCCCTGTTTGTGACCCGAAATTTGGGCGGCTAGAAAGTGACCGAACCAGTTCGGGGATCTCAAAGGATCACGAACTGAAGAACCTCAGCGCCCCCAGGTTAATGCCTATAGACCTGTCATGTCGAATCCACCCCAGTCCAACAGCGGAGCCATCACCGGAGCCTTTTTCTTCCTCTTCGCTCCCAAAGCACCCACGTCCCGATGTCAATCGATTTCACCGATGTCAGTCAATCGGCTTGCGCTTCTGCCCTCGGCACATGGCGACAGGCTTTGCATTTTGGATTGGGGGTTGGTCACCAAGCTGGATCCAAGCTTTCGCGCCACTCGGTGACCGGCACTGAAGACTCGGTGGAGAGTGAAGAGCCATTGTCAAATCTGAGTCGGTTTTGGAGCGAAGGCCCAGCGAATGAATTGGCCATGCAGTTTTGTTGTTCTTTTTTTGGGGTGGGGTGAGGGTTGGAGCGAGCTTCGGAGGCTTTTAGAACTGTTTCTATAGGTGTTTAGGTTTTGAAAAAGCTCACGATCCACCTGCAGTCCACGTCTTTTTGGAGGGGGTTCAAGATGGTTCAAGGAGCACCCCAATCTGAGAAGACTTCGCTTCGAAACTCAGGTAGCATACATCGAGCACATCGCGCACTTGGTCTCTGGTGTTAAGGGCCTCAGAGGTGGTTGCAGATGGTGGGTTGGCACTGCGACGACGTCCGGATGAAACGAGAGCAGATCTGCCCAGAAGTTCCAGAGGTCTCATGCCGGGAGCAGTGCAATTT